TTGGAGATGAGACCAAGTAAACTCAGCCCCTGAACATCCACATTGCAAAGGAAGATATATATTTATTCAAATGTAATCCTTTCTATTGCCGATGTGATAACAGTTAATCCTTTCTCTTTCCTATGTGCTAATCGCTAAATATGCCTCTCTTGACTCGCATGAAATTTACCCATAATCTCAAAACTGCTGCAAAGAAATCTATAATCTCAATGGCGGGAATGACTGTTAGATTGAAGAGCCGTGGTGTTGCAGTGCTTGGAATGCAGTATGGCAGGCTAACTCTGCTCAAACTTCCAGGAGTTCGATTCCTGAGATCCAGACCAGTTCAAGATTGACTCATCCTTCCATCCTTCTGAGGTCAGTAAAATGAGGAACCAGATTGTTGGGGGGAATATGCTGACTCTGTAAACTGCTTAGAGAATGCTATAAAGTGGTGTGAAGTGGTATATAAGTCTAAGTGCTATTGCTGAATGGTTAGATAGATAGATAGATAGATAGATAGATAGATAGAGATAGATAGATAGAGATAGATAGATAGATAGATATAGAGATAGAGATGAGAGATAGAGATAGAGATAGAGATAGAGATAGAGATAGATGGATGGATAGATAGAGATAGATAGATAGATAGATAGATAGATAGATAGATAGAGATAGAGATAGAGATAGAGATAGAGATAGAGATAGAGATAGAGATAGAGATAGAGATAGAGATAGAGATAGATAGAGATAGAGATAGAGATAGAGATAGAGATGATAGAGATAGAGATAGAGATAGAGATAGAGATAGATGGATGGATAGATAGATAGAGATAGATAGATAGATAGATAGATAGATAGATAGATAGATAGATAGCTCAAATGATCCTTTATTCAAAGGACTATGTATATTTGATTAGAGCTTCTGGTTTAATGAAGCCATAAGAAATGATCAAAGGGGGTCTGGTCTATATAAAGATGGAATTCTTCCAAAATGAAATAAAAAATGGAATATAGAAAAATGGACTATACTTTCAAGCTCTGATATGTTTGTCTATGCAGGGTCTGCATAGACAAACATGCAGGGTCTATTTGCACCCCACATGGGACAAATAGACCCTGGGAAGACTTTCCCCCTTTCTATTTTTGTTCTTTTGCTTTTTGCAATCCTTGCCTGGCTTCTCATCCGTTCTTATGAATGAGACAGATATAAATTGTCCTCAGCAATGTCGGTGTTAGAATAACATTCCCTTCTTTATTTTGAATTTTCCAAAGGAAAATCCGAAGGGGGTTCACTCAGGCTTGGCCACAGATTACTTTGAAGAAAAATCTGGCAACTCTTACCAAGAGCCTTGGTAGTACAGGGGTTTAAGGCACCCTGTTATTAAGCTGGTTATTAAGACCAGCTGCCTGCAATTACTGCAGGGTTTGAATCTCGCCAAGGCTCAAGGTTGACTCAGCCTTCCATCCTTTCTAAGGTAGGTAAATTGAGGACCCAGTTGTGGGGGCAATAAGCTGACTTTGTATAAATATACAAAAGAATGAAGGCTATTGCTTAGCGCATTGTAAGCCACCCTGAGTCTCCGGAGAAGGGCGGCATATAATCAAATTAAAAAAAAAAACAAAAACTGAGAATCACCGAAGACAAAGATCATAGAGAGAGAAGTGCCAGGGAAATTAGATGCAAGAAATTAGCTCCAGGAGGTATCTCAATGAACATTCTCCGTCATCCAGATAGAGTTGTCAGGATTTTGAGTCATGGCACCTGGGCTTCTTTTCTTTTTTGGTCTGAAACATTTTGCTACTTATCCAAGTGGCCAATGACTCAACTTCCAGGGGCCAGGAGAATTTTCAGCTGAGTCAAGGATGAATGGAGAACACTTTTCCCAAAACTATGATGAAAAAATAAAAAACCTTCAATCTCCATCTGAAAAACAGTTTTGGACCTTGAAGACATTCTGAGTTGTTTCTTCACCTGATGTCCCAAAGGTGTGAAAAAGCACCTTTGGCAATTGGACTTTCTGGTTTTTCTTTGAAGACATTTCACTTCTCATCCAAGAAACTTCTTCAGCTCTAGTTGGATGAAAAGCTGAAGAAGCTTTTTGGATGAGAAGCAAAATGTCTTTTAAAAAAACACCCAGAAAGTCCAGTTGCCTGTTGAAAAAAGCACCTTTGGGACAACCACGCCCTGGATGACTGAGAATCTCCATAGACATTCTTCCCCAGATCTTCTCTTTGAATGTTAGATGAAGCTGCATCTCCATTCTCTGAGTAAAGAGCTTCTACCATGATATTTATTTATTTATTTATTTTATAAAATTTGTATGCCGCCCTATCTCCAAGGACTCAGGGTGGCTCACAACGACAATCGACCAAGCGACTGTTAAAAACAACAATATACATAAAAAATATCAAAAAAGTGTTTTAAAAAATTAAAATATACTACCCCATCAATCCAGACCGGGGGACATAAATAGCCAGGTTTTCAGTTCACGGTGGAAGGTGCGAAGGTCAGGGGCCAACCGGAGCCCCAAGGGAAGTTGATTCCAAAGGGTGGGGGGTGCTCACAGAGAAGGCTCTACCCCTGGGGGTCGCCAGCCGACATTGTCTAGCCGATGGCACCCTGAGTAGGCCCACTCTGTGAGAGCGTACCGGTGATGGGAAGTTGACGCTGGTTGCAGGTGGTCCAACAAATAGCCTGGACCTAAGCCATGAAGAGCTTTATAGGTTAACACCAGCACCTTGAATCTCACCCGGAGGGCAACCGGCAACCAATGCAAGCCGTGCAGGAATGGTGTAATATGAGAGTGTCGGGTCCCTCCCGCAACAACTCACGCGGCCACATTCTGCACCAGCTGAAGCCTCCAGATGGTCTTCACGGGCAGCCCCAGGTAGAGAGCATTGCAGTAGTCGATCCGGGAGGTGACTAGCGCATGAGTATATAGAAGCGTTGCCTTCTTTATTCTAATCAGTATGCAAATTCAGCAAATGCTTCCTGTTTAAAAATCTCCTCTGAAAAATGTCCAGAAAAAGTTACATACTGTGTCATTTCGACCATTTTCCAGACAACAAAGATATTCCTTCCCGCAAAAAAATGAGTATTATTCTTCTACTGCACTTAATTTTGAGTTCATCTCTCTTAAGCGGTGAGGTTCATTTTTCTTCTGTCTCTATTTTTCTCTGCATACCTATAATTAATTTAACTATAACTAAGTATACTGTAATTGTTAACTATAAACTAGAACTATTAAATACATTCACATACAGTCTAAAGATAAATGAATGTAACAATACTTATTGTTTCCCAGGTATTAAATGCAGCGTTCAGATGGAACAATCTGGAGTATATGTGAAAAGACCTGGAGAATCCCTCTCTCTCACCTGCAAAGGTTCTGGTTTTAACTTTGGAAGCTATGGCATGGATTGGGTGAGACAGGCTCCAGGAAAAGGACTGGAATGGATTGCAGTTATTTGGTACGATGGCAGTAAGCAACTCTATGCAGAGTCTGTCAAAGGACGCTTCACCATCTCCAGGGACAATGCCAAAAGCCAGCTGTATCTTCAAATGAACAGCCTCAAAGCTGAAGACACGGCAGTCTATTACTGTGCGAGAGACACAGTGAGAGGAAGTGAATCTGAAGCTAAGCAAGAACCTTCCTTTCTTCAGAGCAGCTCCGCAACTTCATTTAGCTCCAGATCATGGATTAATCAATAAAGATTAATTACTTTCCAATGAGAACTTTAGGAATTTCTAGGTATCCAATTGGAAAATATGTTGGAAGAAAATGAAAAATTATGAATATGACTTCACAATTCGAGGTTCACCTTACTTTCTGCAAGGCAATCAAAACAACAACAACAACTGGAATGGAATACAGTCCTTTAGCATCCTGGAAGAAGTCTGGAAGGGAAACTTCAGGATAATCTTTCAAAACATCTAAACTGCCATTCACATATTGAGGAAACATTTGGACCAGAAGTATCTCCATTTACAGAATGATGAAGATCTGTCCTAATAATCACTTTTGACACTTGGTGGCAATGTTGTCACATGAAACTCCATTGCCCATGCAACCAATAAGGGTGGGGGAGGGAATAAAACAAGTCTCATTAGATATTTTCTCATTTTGGACTCATGATAATTTTTTTTATGTTACTTTAGGCTTCAGTCCTGACCATGAAATTGAATATTTGAAAATTATTTATCTGGTGTTTGTCACCAGCAAAGCTCTAGAACATACCAAGAGGCTTCAATTTTTTTAATGAAAATGGAAATGAAGGGAAGGGCATTTTTATAAAGTTTGATGTATGTGCAAAAAAAAAATGTTGTATACAAATACATACATTTATCCACATGATTCTAAAGGTTAAAATTCAATTGAAACCAGGGAATTCTATTTTGGGAGTAATGTTTTCACAGGAAAACCCATGGCTTATTATATACTATGTTTCCCCAAAAATAAACCCTCTCCGATAATAAGCCCTCCCCCGAAAATAAGCTCTCCCTGAAAATATTTAATCGCATGTGCAACCGGTCCCTGCCATTTCCTCTGGTTAGGGTTAGGGAGGCAGAGCTGGAAATCAGGTAAGACCGCAAGAGGAGCCCCGTCTTGCTCCACGCGCCCCAAAATAATAAGACCTCCCTGAAAATAAAGCCAAGCGCTTATTTTGAGGTTCAAAAAAATATAAGACAGGGTCTTATTTTTGGGAAAACACAATATATATTATTTCCATAATAATTTACTGGAAAATTTCACATGACCGAGGTTACAGTTCTGACCAGGCAATTGAGTATTGGAAAAAAAAATAATTTATCTTCAGTGTTTGTCAGCAACAACGGTCTAGAACTGGGGTCAGAAGCCCGCAGCTCTGGAGCCGCGTGTGGCTCTTTCAACCCTCTTCTGTGGCTCCCTGTAGCTCAAAATATGCTATTTTGAGGAACTATTGAGGAATGGACACTAAAAGTTGTGCATTTGGCAGAGATGGCAAAAAATCTCATCATATCTTAAAGACCGTTCAAATGAAAGATACATATTGGACTGGAGAAGATGGATCGACTATAAACAAAAAAAGTATCCGAATAAGAAGAGTCATATAGCTTATGAATGAAATACTTTAAGTTTTAGTTTATGTTTATAGCTTTTGAGTTATAAGGAGTTAAAGACCTAAGGAGAATATGAAGTCAATAATCTGTTAGCATATTTTACTTTTATGTTTGTGAATGCTATACCCTGTGCTTGTTCTGGGAAGTCTAGGGAGGGGGTGGGGGGGATGGAGGGGAAGGGGGGGTGGGAGGGAGGGGAGGAGGGAGGGGTTAGGGGGGAAGGGTGGGGGGGAGAAAATGTTTGTACTTTCTATAAAACTTTTCAATAAAAAAAAATACAAAACTAAATAGGAAAACAAAATAAGGGAGGAAGAGGGGGGAGAGAAGTGAGGAAGGATAAGAAAGAAGAAAGAAAAAGAAGGGACGTTGAATTCCCTGGAAATCAATTCCCTTTGTTGCAGTAAAATAAGGCGTTAACATCAAATCACAACTTTTTGCTTTTTCATAATAATATGAACAAGCCATTTCTATAAAGGTGGATATAACTATAAGGTGGATGCACTGAGGAACTCTTTTATCTCAACCAATATGTAAATCAAGTCACAATTTCCCTTTTAAAAGAGCCAGGTGGTTTCCTTTTAGGCTACACCCACCAATACAAAGTTGTGCATTTTCCCAAGTTCTATCCTATCAACTCCCCTCAATTCATTACAGGGTGCAAAAAATGATTTTGTGGCTACACCTGGTGCCCCTACTAGCATTCCTCAGAGGTAATTGTTTCCTCTCTCTTCAGGTTCTTCCCATTTTAATTCGGGTATGCAGGAGAGCTTATTGATACACCTTTCTTTTTAGATGTCAAGTCTCAGGTCCAGTTGGTGGAGTCCGGAGGGGACGTGAGAAGACCTGGAGAGTCTCTCCGTCTCTCCTGCCAAGCTTCTGGATTCACCTTCAGCAGCTATTACATGGAGTGGGTGAGACAGGCTCCTGGGAAAGGCCTGGAATGGGTGGCAGACATAGGTACATCCTCCTCTCCGATTCGCTACTCCGACAAAGTCAAGGGACGCTTCACCATCTCCAGGGATGATTCCCGTAGCCAGCTGTATCTGCAAATGAACAGCCTCAAATCAGAGGACACAGCTGTCTATTACTGCGCTAGACACAGTGAGAGGAAGTGAATCTGATGCCAAGCAAAAAACCTTCCCTTCAGAGCAGCTGTACAAATGGAGTTAAATTTGTGTATTGGAGCAGCCAATAAATCTCCACGATGCCAAGTGGAAGCTCAGAACTGATCTTGGAATAAGCAGGGTGGAACCTGGTGAGCAGTTTCGGGGTGGGGGGGAAGAGAGAGAGAGAGGGGGGGGGAAACACAAGGTTAGGAGATGAAACTGGGTACTTTTTAAAAAGTTAAAATTTATTTAAAGGTAAGAAATATGGATTCGTTGTCTAGTTTTGAAATAAACAATCACCAGCTAAAACTCCCAATAGAAAACAATGGTAATTTTATTTACAGCTTTGCAAAGAGTGTGCGCCATGCACACACAGGTAAACTGACACACCTTAAATCTGTGATGGCGAACCTACAGCACGCGTGCCCAACGTGGCATGCAGAGCCATCTTTCCAGGCATGCGAGCTGTCACCCAACTCACCCGCATCTTCGCGTGCGCCCCGCTGGTGTTCTGGACTCCGGTATGCATGGGCGCAATTCAGGGGACCCAGAAGGTCGTCAGAACTCTCTTGTGCATGCGTGTACATTTGTGCATGCACGCAAGAGTATTTTCACGCAGTGCACACATGCACAGACAAATGTTTGCACGTGGGCATTGTATGCGCGAAAACCATGCGCATGTGTAGATGGTACAATTGTGCACGCAGTGCATGGGGGAGCCATATGAAACCTGCACACATGTGCAAATGGTGCAATTGCGTGCGTAGTGCATGGGGGAGGAGCTGCGTGTTAGCATGGATGTCACACGAGCGCATGAAATGCGTGAAGCACGTAACTGTTCGGCACTCGGTGAGTAAAAGGTTCACCAGCACTGCCTTAAATCACCATTTTCTTTATATTCCCTATTGCCGTTGCAAATTTACCTTCCAACTTTCCTTATTGGCTTAGAACTCAGAACCTCACAACCTATCCGAATCGCCTAGAGTGAATATATTTCTCCACCCCGATTACATCTCCCATCTAATTCTATTGCCCTCTGCCCTTATTTATAAATTACCCTTTTATGCCTATAGTTCCTAGGGGATTTCTCTGAAGTAACTATCATATCAGCAAATTCTGGTTAAGACCGTTTTTTACCCTAGCAGGGGCCTCTGATCCTGGCTCCTACATACCAGTAATTTTCTTTTACTACCAGTTCTGTGGGTGTGGCTTATTTTGTGGGCGTGGCTTGGGGGTAATGTGACTGGGTGGGCATGGCCAACTTTTTTTTTTTAACTTTTAAAAGCATTTTTTCTACAACCTTAAGAGGTTGCAGAAAATAATGCTTTTAGAAGCTTCTGATGATCAGGCAAATCTGCTGAGATCGCCAGAGGCTTTTAAAGGGATTTTTTTCCTACAACCTGTTCGGCTGAAGAGGTTGCAGAAAAAATGCTTTCAGAAGCTTCCGACGATCCCAGCTGAGCTGTGCGATCATCAGAGGCTTTTTTTTTTTAACTTTTGAAAGCATTTTTTCAGCCGAAAAGGTTGTAGAAAAAAATGTTTTTAAAAGTAAAAAAAAAACCCCACCTCTGATGAGGTGGGCTAGTGGCGACTGGGTCAGGGATCCGTTTGGGGGCATGGCCAGCCAATGTTATTACCGGTTCTCTGAACTACTAAACATTTTTACTACCGGTTCTTGCGAACCGGTGCGAACCAGGAGCAACCCACCACTGCTACATACAATTCCCAAGCTTCAGCCTAGATCATGAAATTAGAAATATATACAGTGTATTTTCTTTATAGGCTAGCATGTCTTCTGCAATTTCTGTAAAAACAATAAGGTCTTTTTCCCACAGGATTGATATCCTACAATTCATCCTTGATATGCTCTTCAGTCCTCTTTGATTCTCGGTATTGAGAACTCTCTTCAATTTAATTCCATTGTATATTGGGTTTAGGACAAGGAACGTGTGGCTATCCTAATTGGGCCTCCATCAAATCCCCCCCAAAAGACCCAACATGAACTCCTCTACTACAGACAAGGAAGAGAGTAAAAAAACGAGGCAACATTCTCATTCCATAAGTTGCTGAAATATTTATTTATTTAGTTGTCAAACGTGTCTAAGATTACAGATATAAGTATAAACATGATTATGAATACAGGATAAGGATACAAATAAAATGGGGACAGTAGGAAAGGGATGGTAGGCATATTGGTGCGCTTATGCATGTCCCTTACAGACCTCTTAGGAATGGGGTGAGGTCAAGAGTAGACAGTCTAAGGTTAAAATGATGGGGGTTTGAGTATGTAACCATAGAGTCAGGTAGTACATTCCAGGCATTGACCACTCTGTTGCTGAAGTCGTATTTTCTGCAATCAAGTTTTCTTAGGATTGGGACATCATTTGAAAATGATCAAGGTAGTAGAAAAACATGAGCTATTTTTTAAATCATAAAATAAGAGTTAATATTACAAATGTACTATATTTGCTCCAGAAGAAATACAAATCTTCCTATTTCTGTTTCTTTTTGGTTTTTTTCTGTACTTTTTAATCTTCCTTCCTTCCTTCCTTCCTTCCTCTTCCTTCCTTCCCCACACTGATTTATTATTATTTTTCAATGTACACTTTTACTATTATTCTTGCCATTATTATCCCTTCCTTCCTTCCTTCCTTCCTTCCTTCCTTCCTTCCTTCCTTCCTTCCTTCCTTCCTTCCTTCCTCTTCCTTCCTTCCCCACACTGATTTATTATTATTTTTCAATGTACACTTTTACTATTATTCTTGCCATTATTATCCCTTCCTTCCTTCCTTCCTTCCTTCCTTCCTTCCTTCCTTCCTTCCTTCCTGCCTGCCTGCCTGCCTTCCTTCCTTCCTTCCTTCCTTCCTTCCTTCCTTCCTTCCCTGCCTCCCTGCCTCCCTCCCTTCCATCCTTCCTTTCACAAAGTACTTTATTATATATATTATAGATAACAGTATATTCTATACTGTTTTTGGTGACTTTTTAAAATCACAATTGTTATTATGATTACTTTTGTCATTATTATTCTTATTCTTATTTCAATTTTTATGGGTTGTCCATTTTGGCGAATCAACTCTGGAGAAGTAACAACTGATAAAAACACCACACAAAATAGCATCTAAAACAAAAATGACCTTGGTCTGCATTCAGTTCTTTTGGGGTTTCTTCAAAAGGTCATATTAAAGAGGAAAATGTATAAAACCTTTCCTGAACTTAGACGTGCTGCTGTTTCCATGTTTTTTAACATGCCTGTTTCAAATGTTCCTAGTGCTTGTTCATCATTTGTTTTCTTTGAATCATTTTTCTTTGTTTTTATTACTCTAACTTAAAGGGTGCTTTCACTTTTCTTAAAACTGAAAAGTTTTAAAGTTAAATCAACACTGTAGGGAGTATGCAGGAAAACTATAAGGCGAATGCATTGGTGAGTTCTTTTATCTCAACCAATATGCAAATCAAGTCACAATTTCCCCCTTAAAAGAGCCAGTCGGTTTTCCTTTTCAGGCTACACCCACCAAAACAAAGTTTGTGCACTTTCCCAAATCCTTTCTGATCAACTCCCCACCATTCATTGCACAGGGCAAAAATGCTTCTGTGGCTAAACTTGGTATCCTTACTGGCAGTCCTCCATGGTAATTGTTTCCTCCCTATTCAGCTTCTTTCCATTTTAATTCTTGTATACAGAAGAGATTATTGATACATCTTTCTTTTTAGGTGTCAAGTCTCAAGCCCAGTTGGTGGAGTCTGGAGGGGATGTGAGACGACCTGGAGAGTCCCTCCGTCTCTCCTGCCAAGCCTCTGGATTCACCTTCAGCAGCTCTTACATGAACTGGATGAGACAGGCTCCAGGGAAAGGACTGGAATGGGTTTCAGAGATATATCCAACTTCATCTAGCATTTACTACTCAGACAAAGTCAAGGGTCGCTTCACCACCTCCAGGGACAATGCCAAAAGCCAGCTGTATCTGCAAATGAACAGCCTCAAAGCTGAAGACACGGCAGTCTATTATTGTGTGAGAGACACAGTGAGAGGAAGTGAATCTGAAGCTAAACAAGAACCTTCCTTTCTTCAGAGCAGCTCCGCAACTTCATTCAGCTCCAGATCCTGGATTAATCAATGAGGATGAATTTTTTTCCAATGAGAACATTAGGAATCTTTTTCTAGATATCCAGTTGGAAAATACATTAGAAGAAAATGAAAAATTATGAATATGACTTCACAATTCGAGGTTCACCTTTCTTTCTGCAAGGCAATCAGGTTTCAAAACAACAATAACAACTGGAATGGAATACAGTCCTTTAGCATCCTGGAAGAAGTCTGGAAGGGAAACTTCAGGATAATCTTTCAAAATATCTAAACTGCCATTCACATATTGAGGAAACATCTGGACCAGAAGTATCTCCATTTACAGGATGAGGAAGATCTGTCCTAATAATCACTTTTGACACTTGGTGGCAATGTTGTCACATGAAACTCCATTGCCCATGCAACAAATAAGGATGGGGGAGGGAATAAAACTAGTCATGTTAGATATTTTCTCATTTTGGACTCATGACAAAAAATTTTTATGTTACTTTAGGCTTCAGTCCTGACCATGAAATTGAATATTGGAAAATTATTTATCTGGTGTTTGTCACCAGCAAAGCTCTAGAATGTATCAAGAGGCTTCAATTTTTATTTTTATTTTTAATGGAAATGGAAATGAAGGGAAGGGAATTTTTATAAAGTTTGATGTATGTGCAAAAAAAAAAGTTGTATACAAATACATGCATTTATCCACATGATTCTAAAGGTTAAAATTCAATTGAAACCAGGGAATTCTATTTTGGGACTAATGTTTCCCCGTCCTCACTTTTGACACTGGAGGTTAATGTTGTCACAGGAAAACCCATGGCTTATTATATACTGTGTTTCCTCAAAAATAAACCCTCCCTGAAAATAATCCCTCCCCGAAAATATTTAACCACATGCACAGCTGGTCCCTGCCATTTCCTGTGGTTAGGGTTAGGGAGACAGAGCTGGAAATCACATAAAACGGCAAGCGGAGCTCTGTCTTGCTCCACCTACCCCAAAATAATAAGACCTCCCTGAAAATAAGGCCAAGTGCTTATTTCGGGGTTCAAAAAAATATAAGACATGGGCTTATTTTTGGAAAACACGGTATATATTATTTCCATAATAATTTACTGGAAAATTTCACATGACCAAGGTTTTATTTATTTATTTATTTATTTATTTATTTATTTATTTAGTTAGTTAGTTAGTTAGTTAGTTAGTTAGTTAGTTAGTTGCATTTCTATGCCACCCAACTCCCAAGGGACTGTGGGCGGCTTACAACAAAGAATAAAACAATGCGAACAATAAAAAATGTTAAAAGAAAAACATTAAAACATTAAAACTTTAAAAACGTTAAAACACATGCACTCCAATTCATGGCCGGGTCTCGCAAGATCATTATAATGAGATCAATGGCCACAGGCCTGCCGGAAGAGCCAGGTCTTCACCGCTTTGTGGAAGGCCAATAGGGTGGGGGCGGTCCAGACCTCAGGAGGTAACTGGTTCCAGAGAGCCAGGGCAGCCACAGAGAAGGCCCTCCCCCGCTGGCCCACCAGCCAATATTGTTTAGCTGATGGGACCCGGAGGAGACCAACTCTGTGGGATCTTACCGGTCACTGGGAGCTATGTGGTAGAAGGAGGTCTCGAAGATAGCCTGGCCCTGAGCCATATAGGGCTTTAAAGGTAATGACCAACACCTTGAATTGCACCTGGAGACCAATAGGGAGCCAGTGCAGCTCGTGGAGAATTGGTGTAATGTGGGTGTATCTAGGCGCACCCACTATAACTTGTGCGGCTCCATTCTGGACCAACTGTAGTCTCCGAACACTTTTCAAGGGTAGCCCCATGTAGAGCGCATTGCAATAATCCAACTGTGAGGTGACAAGGGCATGAGTGACTATGAGGAGAGCCTCCTGATCCAAGTAGGGTCGCAATTGGTGCACCAGACGAACCTGTGCAAAGGTCCCCCTAGCTACAGCTGTCAGATGTTGTTCCAGTCTCAGCTGTGAGTCTAGAAGGACACCCAAATTGCGAGCCCGTTCTGAGGGGGGCACTTTCTCACCCCCCAGAACCAAGGATGGACAATCGACATAGTCTTTAGGGGGCCATACCCAGAGTTATAGTTCTGACATGCAATTGAGTATTGGGAAAAAAAATGATTTATCTTCAGTGTTTGTCCACAGCAAAAGTCTAGAATCGGGGTCAGCAACCCACAGCTCTGGAGCCACATGTGTGGCTCTTTCATCCCTCTGCTGAGGCTCCCTGTAGCTCAAAATATGCATCACAACTGCCAATGTGTGACACCCACCGACACACAATTTATTAAACTTTTCGACCCCCGGTAGGCCAACCATGGATCAATCCAAGAAAAGAAAAGTTTCAGAAGAAAAGAGAATCTTTAATTCAACTATATATGCTAGTTTTGTGGCCACTCAAGAAATAGTCAGGCACGGGAGGGATTTTGTGGCTCCCGGTGTTTTCTTTTCTGTGGGAAACTGGTCCAAATGGCTCTCTGAGTGTTTAAGGTTGCTGGCCCATGGTCTAGAATGTATCAAGGAACTTCATTTTTTTATTTTCAATGAAAATGGAAACAGCATGAAGGGAATATGTTTTCCCCTGGTTTATGATTTTTATTGAGTTATAAAACATTATAAGATACAAAATACAAAAGTAAATAAGAAAACAAAATAAGGGAGGAAGAGGGGGGAGAGAAGTGAGGAAGGATAAGAAAGAAGAAAGAAAAAGAAGGGACTTCCCTCTGTTGCAGTAGAATAAGGCGTTAACATCAAATCACAACTTTTTGCTTTTTCATAGTAATATGAACAAGCCATTTCTATAAAGGTGGATGCACTGAGGAACTCTTTTATCTCAACCAATATGTAAATCGAGTCACAATTTCCCTTTTAAAAGAGCCAGGTGGTTTCCTTTTAGGCTACACCCACCAATACAAAGTTGTGCATTTTCCCAAGTTCTATCCTATCAACTCCCCTCAATTCATTACAGGGTGCAAAATATGATTTTCTGGCTCCACCTGTTGTCCCTACTAGCATTCCTCAGAGGTAATTGTTTCCTCTCTCTTCAGGTTCTTCCCATTTTAATTCTTGTATGCAGGAGAGCTTATTGATACACCTTTCTTTTTAGATGTCAAGTCTCAGGTCCAGTTGGTGGAGTCCGGAGGGGATGTGAGAAGACCTGGAGGGTCCCTCCGTCTCTCCTGCCAAGCTTCTGGATTCACCTTCAGCAGCTACTGGATGGAGTGGGTGAGACAGGCTCCTGGGAAAGGCCTGGAATGGGTGGCAGAAATAGGTACATCCTCCTCTCCGATTCGCTACTCGGACAAAGTCAAGGGACGCTTCACCATCTCCAGGGATGATTCCCGTAGCCAGCTGTATCTGCAAATGAACAGCCTCAAATCAGAGGACACAGCTGTCTATTACTGCGCTAGACACAGTGAGAGGAAGTGAATCTGATGCCAAGCAAAAACCTTCCCTTCAGAGCAGCTGTACAAATGGAGTTAAATTTGTGTATTGGAGCAGCCAATAAATCTCCACGATGCCAAGTGGAAGCTCAGAACTGATCTTGGAATAAGCAGGGTGGAACCCAGTGAGCAGTTTGGTGGGGAGAGAGAGAGAAATACATGGTTAGGAGATGAAACTGGGTACTTTTTAAAAAGTTAAAATTTATTTAAAGTTAGAAATATGGATTTGTTGTCTAGTTTTGAAATAAACCAGCTAAAACTCCCAATAGAAAACAATGGTAATTTTATTTACAGCTTTGCAAAGAGTGTGCGCCATGCACACACAGGTAAACTGGACACACCTTAAATCCGTGATGGTGAACCTATGGCACACGCGCCCGAGGTGGCACGCAGAACCATCTTTCCAGGCACATGGGCTGTCACCTGCATCTTCGCGTGCGCCCCAGCTGGTGTTCGGGCCTCTGGTGTGCATGGGCGCAATTCAGGGGACCCAAACAGTCTTCGGAGCTCTCTTGTGTATGCGCGCACATTTGCGCATGCCTGCAAGAATATTTTCACGCAGTGCACACATGCACAGACAATGTTTGCATGTGTGCATTGCATGCGCAAAAACCATGCCCATGTGCAGATGGTGCAATTGTGCACGCAGCACGTGGGGGAGCCATGTGAAACCTGCGCACATGTGCAGATGGTGCAATTGCATGCATAGCGCATGGGGGAGGAGCTGTGCGTTCGCGTGGTTGGCACACAAGTGCACAAAGCATGTGAAGCACGTACCTGTTCGGCACTCGATGAGTAAAAGGTTCACCACCACTGCCTTAAATCAATCAATATGTTTTCTTTATATTCCCTATTGCCGTTGCAAATTTACCTTCCACCTTTCCTTATTGGCTTAGGACTCAGGCCCTCCCAACCTATCCGAACCGCCTAAAGTGAATACATTATTTCTGCCCCGATTACATCTCTCATCTAATTCTATTGCCCTCTGCAATAGAAGTCTACAATTTGTTACTACCAGTTCTGTGGGCGTGGCTTGGTGGTGGTGGGTAATGTGACTGGGAGGGCGTGGCCATTTTTTTTTTTAACTTTTAAAACCATTTTTTTTCTACAACCTCTTCTGCAAAGAGGTTGTAAAAAAATGCTTTCAAAAGGCTCTGACGATCAGACAACTCAGCTTGGATCATCAGAGGCATTTATTTATTTATTTATTTATTTATTTATTTATTTATTTATTTATTTATTTATTCAATTTCTATACTGCCCTTCTCCTGAAGGACTCAGGGCGGTGAACAGTTAAAATAACGTACATATAAAATATAAAACATACATGTAAACGAACAAAAGGGTTTTTTTTCTTTTAAATGCCTCTGATGATCCAAGCTGAGCTTTAAGCCTCTGCTGATCAGGCAACTCAGCTTGGATCATCAGAGGCATTTATTTATTTATTTATTTATTTATTTATTCAATTTCTATACCGCCCTTCTCCCGAAGGACTCAGGGCGGTGAACAGTTAAAATAACATACATATAAAATATAAAACATACATTTAAAGGAACAAAAGGGTTTTTTTCTTTTAAAAGCTTTTGACGATCCCAGCTGAGCCGCGCGATCATCAGAGGCTTTTTTTTTTTACTTTTAAAAGCATTTTTTGGCCGAAGAGGTTGTAGAAAAAATGCTTTTAAAAGTAAAAAAAAGCCTCTGATGATTGTGCAGCTCAGCTGGGCATGGGGGGGGCACGGATTTTTGCTACCAGTTCTCCGGACCACCCGCCTCCATTGCTACCGGATCGGGAGCATTTCACCCCTGCTCTGCCCTTATTTATGAATTACCCTTTTATGGCTATAGTTCCTAGAGTTTGTCTCTGAAGTAACTATCATATCAGCAAATTCTGATTAAGACTGTTTTTTAGCATAGCAGGGGCCTCTGATCCTGGCTCCTACATACAGTTTCCAAGCTTCAGCCTAGTTCATGAAATTAGAAATATATACAGTGTATTTTCTTTACAGGCTAGCATATCTTTGGCAATTTCTGTAAAAACAATAAATTCTGTTCCCCACAGGATTGATGTCCTACAATTCATCCTTGATACATTTTGCTCTTCAGTCCTCTTTGATTCTTGGTATTGAGAACTCTCTTCGATTTAATTCCATTGTATATTGGGTTTAGGACAAGGAACGTGTGGCTATCCTAATTGGGCCTCCATCAAATCCCCCAAAAAAGACCCAACATGAACTTCTCTACTATAGACTAGGAAGAGAGTAATAAACGAGGCAACATTCTTATTCCATATGTTGCTGAAATATTTATTTATTTATTTGTCAAACACGTGTAAGATTACAGATATAAGTATAAACATGATTATGAATACAGGATAAGGATACGAATAAATGGGGAAGTAGGACAGGGACGGAAGGCATGCTGGTGCACTTATGCACGCCCCTTACAGACCTCTTAGTAATGGGGTGAGGTCAACAGTAGACAGTCTTAGGTTAAAGTTTTGGGGATTTGGAGAAGAAACTACAGAGTCAGGTAGTGCATTCCAGGCATTGACCACTCTGTTGCTGAAGTTGTATTTTCTGCAATCAAGTTTTCTTAGGATTGGACATCATTTGAAAATGATCAAGGTAGTAGAAAAACATGAGCAATTTTTTGTAATCATAAAGTAAGAGTTAATATTGAAAATGTACTATATTTGCTGCAGAAGAAATACAAACTTTCCTATTTCTGTTTCTTTTTGGTCTTTTTCTCTACTTTTTAATCTTCCTTCCTTCCTTCCTTCCTTCCTTCCTTCCTTCCTTCCTTCCTTCCGTCCGTCCGTCCGTCCTTCCTTCCTTCTGTCCTTCCTTCCTCCTTCCTTCCTTCCTTCCTTCCTTCCTTCCTTCCTTCCTTCCTTCCTTCCTTTCTCTGCTAATTTTAATTTTTATGCTGCCTATTTTAACAAATCAACTCTGGGCAAGTAACACATGATAAAAACACCACACAAAATAGTGTCTAAAATAAAAATGATCTTGCTCTGCGTTCAGTTCATTTTTTGGTTTCTTCAGAAGGTCTTTTTAAAGGGGAAATATGTATAAAACGTTTCCTGGATCCAGATGTGCAGTTGTTTTCATGTTTTATAATATGTCTCTTTCAAAGACTTGATTTGTTACTTCGAATCGCTTTTGAGAAGTGGTGAAATTTTTCAGGACTTTGTTTTAATTATTCTTCTGTAAAAGAGCCTTGGTAGTACAGTGGTCTAAGGCACCCTGTTATTAAGCTGGTTATTAAGACCAGCTGCCTGCAATTACTGCAGGTTCGAATCTTGCCAAGGCTCAAGGTTGACTCAGCCTTCCATCCTTTCTAAGGTAAGTAAATTGAGGACCCAGTTGTGGGGGCAATAAGCTGACTTTGTATAAAATATACAAAAGGATGAAGGCTATTGCTGAGCACATTGTAAGCCGCCCTGAGTCTCCGGAGAAGGGCGGCATATAAATCAAATTAAAAAAAAAAAAACTGCCTTCATTTTTATTTGGAGTTGTATAAAAATCAACTGTGCAAGGAGTGTGCAAGGACAACTATGAAACCCCTTATCTGAGGAACACTTTTATGTCAACCAATATGTAAATGAGGGCACAATTTCCCTTTTAAAGGCAACAGTTGGTTTTCCTTTTCCAGTGTCACCAACCAACACAAAGTTTCTGCATTTTCTCAAATTCTTTCCTTTCAATTTCCCTCCATTCGTTAGAGGGAGCCAAAATGACCCTATGGCTAAACTTGGTACTCCTTCTTGCATCCCTTGGAGGTAATGTTTCATTTTATGTCAAGGTTCCTTCCATTTGCTATTCCTGTATATAGGAGATCTCATTGAGCCATTTTTCTTTCTAGGTGTCCAATCTGAGGCTCACCTGGTGGAGTCTGGAGGGGATGTGAGAAGACCTGGGGAGTCCCTCCGTCTCTCCTGCCAAGCTTCTGGATTCACCTTCAGAAGCTATTACATGCAATGGGTGAGACAGACTCCAGGGAAAGGCCTGGAATGGGTGGCCTACATTAATCCAGGCTCATCATACATTTCCTACTCAGACAAAGTCAAGGGACGCTTCACCATCTCCAGGGACGATGCCAAAAGCCAGCTGTATCTGCAAATGAATAGCCTCAAACCAGAGGACACAGCTGTCTATTACTGTGCAGGAGATACACAGTGAGAGGAAGTGAATCTGAAGCCCATCAAGAACTTTCTCTGCCTCTGAGCAGTTTAAACTGATTTACACGCACTCCCTTTTCTTTTCTTTCAATATGATCAAATTTCCTCAGTCTCATTCTTTTCTATGTTATTCATATTTTGGGTCTGAGTTTGCCTTCCTGCCTTGTTGTCACTACTTGTTGTTCACTTCTACCTCCACCTATAAAAAAGGGACAAGTTTTGACATGACGTGCTCCATACACATTCAAATCCATCAGCTTCTTTCCTCTATTGTTGTTAGTTGTGAAGTCGTGTCTGACCCATCGCGACCCCATGGACAACATTCCTCCAGGCCTTCCTGTCCTCTATCATCCTCTGGAGTCGATTTAAGCACACGACTGCTTCAGTGACTCCATCCAGCCATCCCATTCTCTGCCGCCCCATTCTTCTTTGAATCACGTTTGAGAGGTGGATAAATTTTGCAAATCTTTCTTTTAGTTGCTCTTCTATAAAGACTGCTTCATGTTGCAATATTTTCAGGATCAGACTCAATAAAGATAATAGGAGTTAGAGCTTTAAATATATTTCTTTTTAATTATGATAGGCATTCTATATTCACTGAATATTCAAGGTAGAAGCGACGAGAATGGTGAGGGTGGCTCCTTATATATACAAGGGGTGGAGCCAGGAATGGGAGTGGTAAGTTATGAATACATTAAAGTCCAAAGAATAAGTTAACCTCTGATGTTCCATATATATACATTATTTACACATTGGAGAATAAGGCATTTACATCTGACAAATCCCCCTCTAAATGCCGGTTCGTTACACAACACCAATTATATTCTGATACAGGACAATATAATACATATAATTTAGAAGTTAAATATTTGTGTTGTTTAGAAGGTAAGGGTTTTGTTAATATGTCAGCTAATTGTTCAGAAGTATCGCAATGTATTGCTTTAATGAATCCGTCTTGAGACAGTTGTCTCACATGCTTAAACTTTATATCAATATGCCTGGACCTCTGTCCAATTGCATCGGATCTGGATATTTCAATGGCCGCTTTATTGTCTTCATGCATAATAAATGGTAAGGTGGGTTTCTTCCAAACATCAGTGATCAGATCATTGAACCATACAAGGTTATTTGCAGCTTTGGACAAACAAACATATTCCGCTTCTGTAGTAGAAGTGGCTACTAGTTCTTGTTTACCAGTATACCAGTAAACTGGACAATCATTCAATAGAAAAACATAACCAGAAGTACTCTTTCTGCATGATGTATCACCAGCCCAATCTGCATCAGCATAACAAGTAATTTTTGGTTCTCTGTCATTATTGGGTTCCAACATTAAACAAAAATCTAATGTACCCTTCAGATATCTTAGAATTCTTTTGACAGCTTCCCAATGATACAAGGTTGGTTTACTAACATATCTTGACAATAGATTGAGAGGTAATGCAATATCTGGCCTAGTCCAATTAGATATATAAAGGAGTGAACCTATAACTGATCTGTAAAATGTGTTGTCTTTAAACTCAGGGGAAGATTCATCAGTGTTTCTAAGAAAATCAGTTTGCATAGGGGTGTCACAGGTTTTAGCATTATTTAAGTTACATTTGTTTAGGAGTTCGATGATTTTATCTTTCTGTGTAAGTTTGAATCCCCTTTTAGTTTTGTTAATTTGCACACCAAGGTATTTATTCACTTTACCCAGAGATTTCAGTGAGAAGTGTTCATTTAACTTATTTACAAAGATTTCCCTGCTCTCTTTATGCTTTCCAATGTATAAAATATCGTCCACGTAAATTAATACAAATTCAATATGATCATTACTCTTTTTTACAAAGAAACAGTTATCAGCAGTGGTGGCGTTGAAATCCATGGTCTTAAGTACTTTTACCAAGCAATCGTACCATCTTTTGCCGGATTGCTTTAATCCGTACAGACTCTTATTTAATAACCAAATTTCGTTCTTATTAGTGTATTGACTGTGTGGTGCTCTTACATATATTTCCTTATCTAATTTTGCATGTAAGTATGCGGTCTGTATGTCATATTGGAATACGTCCAGATTGAGTGCAGATGCTACTACAAGGGCTGTTTTGACACTCTCTGTTCTCACTGTGGGTGAATATGTATCAGTATAGTCTTCTGGATATTTTTGTGCATAGCCTTGTGCAACTAGTCTAGCCTTGTATAAGGTATTGCCTCCTTCTAAGTTCTTAATTTTATAAATCCACCTGGTACCTATAATTGTTTTATCCTTAGGTGCGATCGCAGGTGTGAATACATTTAATCCTTGTAAACTTTCCATCTCTTTTTCCATAGCTAGTTCCCATTTTTCTCTTTCTTCATGTGGAAGTTTCAATACTTCTTCATATGTATTAGGTGTTATTTGTTCTCCATTCATATGCATTATGTAATCTTTGTATTTATTTGGTATTTGGTTTCTATTGTTTCTAATAGTTCTTTCAGGCTTGCTATGGTTATCATGCAAATATCTAGCTTCCTTTTTTGTTAATGTGTCTGTCTTTATTTTATGCTGACTATTAGTCCAAGTTTTGGTTTTGTTCTTACTTTTGTTAATATTTTGATTTTCTGTTGTTCCTTCCTCGCAAGATATCGTATCTTTACATTTATTAGGAAATATTTCATTAAGGTGCAATTTTGACCAATTGGCCTGTTCATGGAACACAGCTGTTCTGGATACTATAAATTTGTTATTACTATCAATAAATCTGTACCCTTTGGTTCCAGTTTCGTATCCCATGAATCTTAATCTCCTGGATACGTTTTCTCCCTTTCTCCTCAATTGTTTAGGTATGTGTACGTCTGCAGTGACTCCAAATATGTGCATGTGTGATAATTTGGGTTTTCTATTGTACATCACCTCATATGGTGTCTTATTCACAATACTGGACCAGGTTCTATTTTGAGTGTAATTCGAATAATGTAATGCCTCTGACCAAAATTGTTTGCCTAAACCAGCATCCTCTAATGTGCACCTAATCATGGTTTGTAGTGTGGAATTTTTCCTCTCTGCAACTCCATTTTGAAATGCAGAAAAAGGATTGGACGTGAAATGTAACATTCCTCTATCCTTTAACCATTGGGAGAATTCTTTAGACATGAACTCACATCCCCTATCTGTCATAATTTGCTTTATTCTGATATTATGTTGTGTTTCTATACGTTTGTAGAATTCCTTAAATTTCTGAAATGTTTCATCCTTGTGCTTTAATGTGTAAACAAAACCATATCGGCTGTAGTCATCCACTATTGTTAGGAAGTAACGTTTTCTATAGGTAATTGAGGGACTTAATGGACCAACTAAGTCCATATGTACCAAATCAAAAATATTGTTAGTTGATCTGTTAGATTTTTTTGGTCTGGGACTGGTTTTTAGTTTGGTGGACTTACATACTGAGCATTCCAAATAATTTTCAGAATTTTTTATTTTGACACCTTCTGCGTGTTCAGTCATTTTTTGTACTACAGGAAAGCTTGCATGTCCTAACTTCCTGTGTAAGATGTGAGCACACTCATCATGAATTGGTTTACCTATTTTTGGTTTCTTTTCCTTGTATGTATTTTTGTGATCATGAGTTATTCTACACTCATCATTGTCACTGTTACTGACATTTTCATCATCTGCTTCAATACAATCTTCCATATTTGAATCAATGTTATGTAAACATCTTTCTTTAGTTATCAGATAGGGTAGACCTCCTTTTATCATTACAGTACCTACATTTGTTTTGTTCTTTTCTATAGTTGCTTTCCCCTTTGAGAAAACTATATTGATATCAGATTCTCTGCTTAATTTTATGGCACTTAGTATGTTGTGAGGTATTTCTGGGATTAATAATACCCCCTCTATTTTCCCTAGACCAGGCAAGGTCACATTTCCTTTGCCTAGTACTTGAACCTTTTCTTGATTAGCTACCTTTATCACAAACTTATCTTCTATAAATGAAGATAATATACTTTTGTTGTTGGTGGTGTGATTTGTTGCACCAGAATCAATAAGCCAATTGTTATTCTCATCCTGCTGTGTTCTGGTGCTGTCTTGTTTATCTAGCCCATTCAGTGACCCAGATTTCCTCTCTTTTGAATTTTCTCTACCCCCTCTACCTTCTTTGTAATTTGGTGGGCTTCTATATTTGTGTCTATCTGTGGAAGATTGTCTGTAATTATATTTGCTCCTATATTCTGGTCTATGTCTCTCTCTTGAGACTTTGGGGCAGTCTCTTCTACTATGTTCCCTGGATCCACAATTGTAGCATCTAAAGGCCTCATTATGTTTATCTTGAAAGACTACTTTCCTAAAAGGTTTGTGGTCTGTTTGGTTACTGGATCGATTTTTTCTTGAATTGTCTTCTGCTATCAATTTGTTAGATAGACTTTCTATGGATAAATATCCCAAATTAATGGTATCTAAGTGTGACATAAAGCTATCCCATGATGGATCAAGTGAATTGATAATAACACTTTTCATTGTTTGATCTGAAATCACTTCCCCCCTCAATTGTAGCTCAGCTCTTATTTTGTTTAGATTTATCAAATGCTCACTTATAGAAACCCCTGGTTTTACTCTAGAGGAAAAGAAATCCTTAGACATTCTTGTGGTTGTAGCTACGCTATCGCTGTGAAATAGATTAAACATGCATTGAATTATTTCTGATACAGTTAGGTTTGGTTTGATGCTATGATACATTGCAGGAGACACGCTAGATATTATTATGAAAAATGCTCTATGATGTAAACAATCTATTTTTAAAGTCCAAGGTCTTCTTGGAGGGCTAGTTATAAAGAATAGTAAATTTTCTTTCATGAAAATGACCTGAAGCTGTTGATACCACTCTTGTAAATTAATGCCATCAATTCTAAGTTTTGGGAAGTCACTGGGTAAGTTACCTACATTATTCTGTCCATTACTTACAACCTGGGGCAGTCCGTGATCTCTCAAGTGCAGGAAATTACAGAACGGCATTGGGATGCTTGCAATGAGTCTGCGCGGTTCTCTGGCCAGTTCAAGTCCTTCTGGGTTGTCTACGTAGTTTCGCACATGCGCGTTGCTCATTTCTTCTTTGGTGGCGTCGTGGAAGGTTCTCTCCCTTTCAGCTCTCTCGATCCGCTCCTCCTCAGATGAGTCGGTCTCTGGCTCGGTTTTTGGGGTTCTGGTGGTGGTGACGGTTCTTTTCTTCTTTTTGTGTGCGTTGGTATTCGATTTTGTCTGTGGTGTAGGGCGAAATCGGCATGGCTCTCTGGGCTCGGGCGTCGTCGCTTTCGAAGCCAGGATGGGAGCGTGCAGGTCTTGAGTCGCCGGTTTGATTTCTTGCTTCTTCGTAGATGTCTTGGTAATTTTCAGTCTTGGCCCAAAAGCAGCAAAAAGCGTTTTCATTGCTGATTTTACTTGAGATTTTGTTAAATCGTCTTCACTTTCTGATTTTGGATCATCTGAAGAGTTTGAGACTTCTTTCTCACTTTCTTCGTCTGATAGTGTTTTTCGCGCCAGAAATTTTGAACTGAGCGTTTTGATTGGCTCTGCTCCATTCTCTTTTGAAGTTCGTTGAAACCAAGATGGCTGCCATTCAAAATTTCGCGCGGGATCACATCTTTTCTTTTTAACAACTATTTTCTCAGTAGTCATCTCACTTACGATTTTTTGATCTTTGGGTTTTTCTTTAATGACGTTTTTCTCTCTCGCTGCTCCGCTGTTCTTCAGCATCTCCTGGAGGTCCGCGATGAGACTTTCATCATTCTTTTGGCTTTTTAGTATCTTTAATATCTCTGACCTGAGTTCGTTATTTTCTATTTCGATTTCTTTCTGGTCATTATTTTCACTCATTAGTTCTTCTTCTTCAGTGGTGTATTCTTCGGATTCTCTCGAAATCGCATTGGTGGATTCGTTGATCATCTCTTGATCAGTTTCTATTTCTTTGCTGTAGGCCCTGGTGTTGGGCCTATCTTTCTTGGACATTTTTAATTACTTATTGAGTCAATTAACCATCCTCTGCTACCAGCTTGTTGCAATATTTTCAGGATCAGACTCAATAAAGATAATAGGAGTTAGAGCTTTAAATATATTTCTTTTTAATTATGATAGGCATTCTATATTCACTGAATATTCAAGGTAGAAGCGACGAGAATGGTGAGGGTGGCTCCTTATATATACAAGGGGTGGAGCCAGGAATGGGAGTGGTAAGTTATGAATACATTAAAGTCCAAAGAATAAGTTAACCTCTGATGTTCCATATATATACATTATTTACACATTGGAGAATAAGGCATTTACATCTGACACTTCATTTTTTCTCTGGACTGGAAAATTGTGTAAAAATGCAGGGCCTGTGAGAGGAGAACTATGAAAATCTTGCTCTGAGGAACTCTTTTATCTCAAGCAATATGTAAATGAAGGCACAATTTCCGCTTTAAAGGCCACAGTGGACACCCACCGACACAAAGTTTGTGCATTTTCTCAAATCCTTTTCTATCAGATATCCTCCATTTATTAGAGAGAGGCAGAAATGATCCTGTGCCTAAATTTTTTATTCTTACTTGTACTGTTCAGAGGTAATGTTTCACTTTATCTAGAGTTTCCTTCATTTTCTGTTCTTATATACAGGGAATCTCATTCAAAATACTTTTGTTTTTAGGAGTCCAATGTCAAGTACAGTTGGTGGAGTCTGGAGGCGACCTGAGAAGACCTGGGGAGTCCCTCCGTCTCTCCTGCCAAGGCTCTGGATTCAGCTTTAGCGGCTACTACATGGGCTGGGTGAGACAAGCTCCAGGGAAAGGCCTGGAATGGGTTGCACACATCTATTATGATTCCAGTGAAAAGTTCTACTCAGACAAAGTGAAGGGACGCTTCACCATCTCCATCGACAATGCCAAAAGGCAGTTATATCTGCAAATGAACAGTCTCAAACCAGAGGATACGGCGGTCTATTACTGTGCGAGATACACAGTGAGAGGAAGTGACTCTGAAGCCTGTCAAGAACTTTCTCTACTCTAAGTTATTGACACTCAGTCCCTTTATTTCTTTCAATATGACGGAATTTCCCCAGTCTCATTCTTTTCTATGTTATCCATTTTTCATTCTTTCTCCATTAACTGATATCCATCTGCTTAAACATATCTCTTCATCCTTCTTAACTCTTTCCACATTAATCTATATAAAATCCCTAGATGCCTATATCATTAAAACATACATAGAGTCACCGTCTTTCAACATCTAATCTTTATATCTAGTTATTACTTTTAGTATATTATATAAAAATATTTACAATAATATTCCCCCTATTTCTTGTTTCTACCTCTGTTCTAGCTCCTAGTAAAGCCATCTCTACTAGGATATCTTGTGTTATAAAACATTTCCTCTATCCATCATCACTTGCCCATTTTAATATTTCAATTCTTTTTTTAAAAAAAATAATTTTTATTAAACATTTTTTTTCAAAAAACAAATATTTCAATTCTTATTCATTTTTTGACTTGCCTCCCAAACTCCTCCCTTTATCTCTATCAACAAGTATATTTTTAACCTAAGTATTTCTTCCATCTCAACTATCTTTTGCTGCCAAGCCTTCAGAGGGTCTGCCCAAGTCTCTATCTTCTTTTCAAGAATGTATTTCTTTTTATCCAGTACCGTTTTTGGGGTCTTTTAATATGTATTTTCCCTGAATTGTTTCATACGTCTTTATTGCCTTCTCCTTCTTAACCTCTTGTTTTATTTGTTGATTTGTTTGTTCTATCGTCAAGAACTTTCTCTACTTCTGAACAGCTTACACTTATTTATACTCAGCTCTGTTCCTGCTCTGAGGAACTCTTTTATCTCAAGCAATATGGAAATGAAGGCACAATTTCCCCTTCAAAGGCAACAGTTGACACCCACCGATACAAAGTTTGTGCATTTTCCCAAATCCTTTTCTATCAGATATCCTCCATTTGTTAAAGAGAGGCAGAAATGATCCTGTGGCTAAACTTTTTATTCTTACTTGTATTCCTTGGAGGTAATGTTTCACTCTATCTAGAGTTTCCTTTCAATTTCTGTTCTTATACAGTATACAGGAAATCTCATTGAAATATCTTTCTTTTTAGGTGTCCAATCTTATTGTACAAAATGAAGCAAGGCACAGACTGGTAGAATTTTGTGAAGAGAATATGATGGTCATAACAAACACTCTTTTCCAACAACCCAAGAGATGACTTTACACATGGACATCACCAGACGGTCAACACAGAAATCAGATTGACTATGTGCTCTGCAGCCAAAGATGTAGAATTTTTATACAGTCAGTAAAAACAAGACCAGGAGCTGACTGTGGCTCAGATAATGAGCTTCTCGTTGCAAAATTTAGACTTAAATTGAAGAAAGTAGGGAGAAGCACTAGGCCATTCAGGTATGAACTAAATCATATCCCTGATGAACATACAGTAGAGATGACAAATAGATTTAAGGAATTAGATCTAATAGACAGAGTGCCTGAAGAACTATGGACAGAGTTTGCAACATTATACAAGAGGTAGCGACTAAAACCATCCCAAAGAAAAAGAAAGGCAAGAAAGAAAAATGGTTGTCTGAGGAAGCTTTGCAAATAGCTGAGGAAAGAAGGGAAGCAAAAGGCAAGGGAGAAAGAGAAAAATACACCCAGTTGAATGCAGAATTCCAGAGAATAGCTAGAAGAGATAGGAATGCATTCTTACATTCCAATTCCAAAGAAAGGCAACGCCAAAGAATGTTCAAACTATCACACCATTGCACTCATTTCACATGCTAGTAAGGTTATGCTTAAAATCCTATAAACTAGACTCCAACAGTATGTGGATCGAGAACTACCAGAAGTACAGGCAGGATTTCAAAGAGGCAGAGGAACTAGAGATCAAATTGCCAACATACACTGGATCATGGAGAAAGCTAGGGAGTTCCAGAAAAACATCTACTTCTGCTTCATTGACTATGCTAAAGCCTTTGACTCTGTGGATTACAACAAATTGTGGCAAGTTCTTAAAGAGATGTGAGTACCAGACCATCTTATTTGTCTCTTGAGAAACCTATATGTGGGTTAAGAAGCAACAGTGAGAACTGGACACGGAACCACTGATTGGTTCAAAATTGGGAAAGGAGTCCAGCAAGGTTGTATACTGTCACCCTGCCTATTTAACTTATATGCAGAGCACATCACGAGAAAGGTGGGGTTAGATGAATCAAAAGTTGGAATTAAGATTGCCGGGAGAAATATCAACAACCTCAGATATGCAGATGATACCACTCTAATGGCAGAAAGTGAAGAGGAACTAAAGAGCCTCTTGATACGGGTGAAGAAGGAGAGTGCAGAAGTTGGCTTGAAACTCAACATTAAGAAAACTAAGATTGTGGCATCCAGCCCTCTCAAGTTCTGGCAAATAGATGGGGAAGAAATGGAGGTAGTGACAGATTTTATTTTCATGGGCTCCAAGATCACCGCAGATGGGGACTGCAGCCAAGAAATTAAAAGATGCTTGCTCCTGGGGAGGAAAGCTATGGCAAATCTAGACAGCATACTAAAAAGCGGAGACATCACCCTGCCAACAAAAGTGTGTATAGTTAAGGCTATGGTTTTCCCAGTTGCAATTTATGGCTGGGAAAGTTGGACCATAAGGAAGGCTGAGCACCAAAGAATTGAGGCCTTTGAACTATGGTGCTGGAGAAGACTCCTGTGAGTCCCTTGGACTGCAAAGCGATCAAACCGGTAAGTCCTAGAGGAGATCAACCCTGACTGCTCTTTAGAAGGCCAGATCCTGAAGATGAAACTCAAATATTTTGGCCACCTAATGAGAAGGAAGGACTCACTGGAGAAGAGCCTAATGTTGGGAACGATTGAAGGCAAAAGAAAAAGGGGTGAAGAATGAGGTGGCTGGATGGAGTCACTGAAGCAGTAGGTGTGACTTAAATGGACTCCAGATGATGGAAGAGGACAGGAAAGCCTGGAGGAACATTGCCCATGGGATCGCGATGGACACGAATTTGAAACTAACAACAAAAATCTGTTAAGTACTTCAGCATCTTGTTTGCTTGGCTAAAGTACTTTGACTTTGTTTTTGGTGTTCAGCAACTTCTTTAACATCTTCCAATATCTTCCCACATACATACACTCATACACTTTTTGATTTTTTTAAAATAAAAGAACCTCTCCTATCTCTAATGTAGATATTAAATAATTCTTGATGGATGATTATTTTTTTTTAGATTTGAAATACAAATTGCACAATTCCTTAGTTTATTCCTGTGATGGCGAACAGGTGGCAAGTGTAGCCTTATCAGTGGGCATGCCAGTCAGCTCTGGTGTGCATGTGCGCACTAGCCAGTTGATTTTCCGGCCTTCTGGGCCCACTATAAGTAGGGAAACAGACTGTTTCCTGCCTCCAGAGGGCCTGGGGGGGAGAGGCCCATTTTTTTTTCTCACCTGGCTCCAGATCCTCTCTATGCATCTGGGGAGGGTGAAAACAGCCTTCCCCACCCCATCGGAGGCCCTCTGGAGTCCTGAAACGGCCCATTTCCCAACTTCCGGTTGGACAGAGTGCCAGGAGCGGGGGAGAGGGGGGGTTGCACATGCATGCGGAGGGCGGGGCACATAGAATTATGGGTGTGAGCACACACACATGCGAACCTCCCCACCCCCCCCCCTCCTGGCACGCAATGGCAAAAAGGTTAGCCATCACTGGTTTATTCCATCTGTTTATTTCATGTGTTGTATATCTGCTTATAATTACCTTCTTTTATCTAGCATAAACACCTGATTGACTATGTAGTGAACCATAATTATAAAACTTTCCTGTCTCTCTGTCTCTCTCTGTCTCTCTGTCACTCTCTCTCTGTGTCTCTGTCTCTCTCTGTCTCTCTCTATGTCTGTGTAGTTCTGTAAGAATCATGTTTGTAATGTGTGTGCAAAGAAATTTAGAGGTGAATGCTCTGAGGGGATCTTTTATCTCAAGCAATATGTAAATCAGGGCACAATTTCCCCTTTAAAGCAGTCAGGTGGTTTCCTGCATCACAAAATTTGAGCAATTCCCTGTATCATTTCTGATTCCACTCCATTCATTAGAGGGAGCAAAAATGATTCTGTGGCCAAACTTTGTCTTCTTACTAGCAGTCCTTCGAGGTAATTATTCCCCCTGTAGTATTTCCCTTAGTTGATGGTTCTTCTATACAAAGATGTCATTGAACCTATTTCTTTCCAGGTGATCAGTCAGAGGCTCAGCTGGTGGAGTCTGGAGGGGATGTGAGAAGACCTGGAGAGTCCCTCCGTCTCTCCTGCCAAGCCTCTGGATTCACCTTCAGCAGCTCCTGGATGTACTGGGTGAGACAGGCTCCAGGGAAAGGCCTGGAATGGGTTTCCCATATACATCCAAGTTCATCTAACATTTACTACTCAGACAAAGTAAAAGGGCACTTCACCATCTCCAGGGACAATGCCAAAAGCCAGCTGCATCTGCAAATGAACAGCCTCAAAGCTGAAGACACGGCAGTCTATTACTGTTTGAGAAGCACAGTGAGAGGAAGTGAATCTGAACCTAAGCAAAAACCTTCCTTTCTGAGGGAAAAGCGATGGAAAATAATGGGAAATACAGGGCAAAATAGGAAAGTTCAGGACATTAAAGTACAAAAGAAAAGAAGGGGAAAGAAAAATAAAAAACTAAAAATCGAAAGGGAGAAAGGGAGAAAGAAATAAAAGAGGAATATGTTGTATACATTTAGAATTGAAATATGAATTGAAGTAAGATTTATAGATGTAATGAATGTTAGAAATAAGATGAGATTGTGATATTAATTAAGTAATATAAAATAATGGAAAACTATATGGATGTATGAATGAATTGAAATAAGTTTTAGAAATATGAATAAGTTTGACAAATGAGATGGTAATAGTTGGAATATTTTTACTTAAAATTAAGGAAATTGTAACAATTGGGATATTTTTAATTGCACTGTGGGAATTTATCTAATGAGAAGTTTTAGAAATATGAATAAGTTTAAATAAATTAGAGGGTAACAGCTGGAATATTTTTAAATTTAATTAGGAAAATTGTAACAATTGGAATATTTTTAATTGTATATTTGGAACCTAATCAAAAAAGAAAAAAGTTGAAATGATAATGTATTCTGAATTAATCAGATTGTGGTGAAACTAGAAATGATTAAGATGTTCTTTGAAGAGGTATAAATACATATGTTTGACAAAGTAACTGAAAATTAGAGGTAAGATTCAAGGAAATATACGGTAGAAAGTTACTTGGTTTATTACTATTATATAAAGAGAAAAGATTGCTATATAATTAATTGATTTTTATTAAGATGTCGGATTGTATTATTTGGAATAAGATTTAAGGAAATGTATGGCATAAAACAATTTGGTTTATTATTTTTATAAGAAATGAATGATTGTAACACTACATAATTAATTGATTTTTATTAAGATGTTGGCTATTGAAATAACTGATAATCGAAAATATTAGTGATTATATTAAGGGAATATAAGGAAATACTAGAAATTATATTATGTGAGATTTTAAAATCTGCTAATTTAAAAATTGAATTTGGTTAAGATTAGAGGTTAGGATGAAGGGTATTATTGGTCTATAAAAAAATAGAGAGAATAAATACTATGGCAAAAAGGGAATATATAAATTGTCAGCATTCAAATGCTGCCATAGAAAGAAGACGAGGCTTGACATTTCACCTACTTATTTTCTCTGTAGATAATATCCCCTAGGAGATGGGATGGGAGGGGGACATTCCTGGGGTTGGAGGCAGGAGCTGGGAAGATTGACTTGGAAGATGGTCAATGAGAAGATGAGAATTGGGGAACGGAAAGGGAAGGTTTTAGGGTCAGAGGGTTAGTATCGGCTACGAAGAGTCGGGACCAGATTGTTGTACTCAATAAATGGAATATCTCAGCAAAGATTAATTGTTTGGGAGTACAATTTATTTGAGATGACATCAAAATCTGACATAAGTTGTGTTGAAATGACTAAAAATTGTCTAAATTTGTGAACCGGCCAATACTCTGTTCAGAAAAAATATATTGTATGTTTGTTCATTCGTTTGTGTTAAAAAAAAAAAAACTTAAAAAAAAAAACACCTTCCTTTCTTCAGAACAGCTCTGCCACTTGAGCCAGATCCTAGATTAGGCAGTGAGAGCTGATCACTCTCTGGTGAGAATTATAGGATTCTTTTGTTCTGGGTATCCAGTAAGAAGACAGGGTGCTGGACGACAATGAAAAATGAGGAAAATGGCTTCAGAATTCCAGTTTTACCAACCCTGTTTAGAAGGTGAACTGAGACAAAATAAAACTGGAATGGAATAGCGATAGTCCTCGATTTAGGACCACAAATCTAGTCACCTAGTCAAATTTAGTTACCACAGAGGTCATAAATATGAGTCAGTTGCCAAGCATCTGAATTTTCAGCATATGACCATGGAGATGCTGCAATAGTCATAAGTGTGACAAATGGTCATAAGTCACTTTTTTCCATTGATCTTTCAACGGTCAATAAATGAATTGTTGTAAGTCGAGATCTACCTGTATCTTCATTTACTATCATGGCAGAAATCTGAAAATGAAACTTCAGCATAATCTTTCTAAATATCCCAACTGCCATTCACATATTGAGGAAACATCTGCACCTACAGAATCTCCTCAGAGGATTAGAAAGATGTGTCCTCTCCTCACTTTGGATAGCAGGGGGCAATGTTGACACACGAAACTCCATGGCTTATTTATTTTTATTTTATTCATTCATTTTTGTTGAGTACATATTAGATAATATATATAAGTATCAGCATGAATTGACTACATAAAATGAATACAATTAAAGGGAACATTAGGACAGGGATGGAGGCACGCTGGTGCTCTTATGCAAGCCCCTTATAGACTTCATAAGAATGGGCTGAGGTCAACAGTAGACAGTTTAAGGTTAAAGTTATGGGGGTTTGGGGATGAGACCACGGAGTCAGGTAGTGCATTCCAGACATTGACCACTCTGTTACTGAAGTCATATTTTCTGCAATCGAGTTTGGAGCGATTTACCTTATGTTTGTATCAATTGTGTGTTCATGTATTGTTGTGGTTGAAGCTGAAGTAGTTGAGGACAGAGGAAGGAATAAATCAATTAAAAATAGATATTGTCTAATTTTGGAGGTGTGGCAGTTGTTATTTCTGTAATTGTTCTCTGAAAATCTCTGAACAACTCCTTCCTTCCTTCCTTCCTTCCTTCCTTCCTTCCTTCCTTCCTTCCTTCCTTCCTTCCTTCCTTCCTTCCTTCCGTTGTGGCTCTGTTGCCTGAGCCTGGGCTATCGACAGATGCAGACTCTGAGAGTGAGGGGGAGGAGTTGGCAAGGCCTCCCTCTCCAGGACCCTCCTCTCTGGCAATGCCTCTGGAGGACAACGAAGGCCAAACGATAGGCTCAGAGCCAAGTACATCCCCGCAGCCACAGGTGAACAGCAACGAGGAAAATAAGTGCTGGCTGGACCCTCGCCAGAGGTGCAGGGAGAAGCGTGCGCAGCAGAGGGGAAGGCGTGCCAGAGATTAGCTGAGTCACTGGACCACACCCCACAGGCTATAAAAGGGAATGTGGTGGCCATTCGGACTCTGTGACGGACAAAGCTAATCTCTGGCGAGGCACTTTGCACCTTCGGACACAATACCTATTTGCTGTGGAATTAATTACAAACTGGACTATTCAAACTGTGTGTATTTTTGTCTGTGTTATCAGAGTAAAAGTTTTGGCAGGCAGCCATGGAGTTGCTGCCAAGTTCCTTATCACTGATGTTGAGTGTTTGAAGAGTTTATTTAACCCTCGGCTGGCTGGTTGGGTGTGTGCGTGGTACGGGACAGAACACCTTCCTTCCTTCCTTCCTTCCTTCCTTCCTTCCTTCCTTCCTTCCTTCCTTCCTTCCTTCCTTCCTTCCTTCCCTCCTATTTTAATTTTCGCTGTTCCACATCTTTAGGAATCAACTCTGGGCAAGTAAGAAATAACAAAAAAAAACATAAAAGTAGCCTCTAAAACAGGGGTGTCAAACTCAAAGCCCATGGGCCGGATCCAGCTGCTGGGGTGATTAGATCTGACCCTTGGGGCAACCCTGAAAAAAGCGAAGGACTGACTTGCAGTGTGTCTGCCAGCAAAAACGGAGCTTAGAAGGGCCCAGTGTGGCTCTCCTGAGTTCTGTTTCTGCTGGCAGAGCCACCCGACACAAGTGATGTCAAGCTGGCCGTGCCCATCCTGGCAACACCCACCTGACCCCCTGAGGTCAGACACAACCCAGATGTGGCCCTCAATGAAATCGAGTTTGTTACTCCTGCTCTAAAACAAAAATTATTTCGGTCTCCTTTCATTCCTTTTGGGTTTCTTCAAATTGTGATGTTAAAGGGGGAAGGGAAAAGTATAAAACCTTTCCTGAACTCAGATGTGCTGTTCTTTTCATGTTTTTTTACATGCCTCTTACTGCTTGTTCATGATTTGTTACTTTGAATCATGCTTCATTTTTCTTTGGACCGAAAAATTGTATGAAAATCAACTGTGCAGAGTCTGTCCAAGGACAACTATGAAAATCATGCTCTGAGGAACTCTTTTATCTCCAGCAATATGTAAATGAAGGCACAGTTTCCCCTTCAAAGGCAACAGTTAGCAAACAGAGAAACAAAGATTGTGGGTCTTCCCAACTCCTTTTCTATCATATATCCTCCATTTATTAGAGAGACGCAGAAATGATTCTGTGCCTTAAGTTTTTATTCTTCCTTGTACTCCTTGGAGGTAATGTCTCACATTATCTAGAGTTTCCTTTCAATTTCTGTTCTTATATACAGGAAATCTCATTGAAACATCTTTCTTTTTAGGTGTCCAATCTCAAATGCAGTTGGTGGAGTCTGGAGGAGCTGTGAGAAGACCTGGAGAGTCCCTCCGTCTCTCCTGCCAAGGTTCTGAATGCACCTTCATAAACTATGACATGCACTGGGTGAGACAGGTTCCAGGAAAAGGACTCGAATGGTTGGCATATATAAGTGGAAGCTCATTTTACATTTACTATTCAGACAAAGTCAAGGGCCGCTTCACCATCTCCAGGGACAATGCCAAAAGCCAGCTGTATCTGCAAATGAACAATCTTAAACCAGAGGACACAGCAATCTATTACTGTGCAGGAGGCGCACAGTGAGAGGAAGTGAATCTGAAGTCCGTCAAGAACTCTCTACTTCTGATCAGCTTATATTTACATACACTCAGTCCTTGTATTTCTTTCCTTGCTGAATTTCCTCAGTCTCATTCTTCATTGTTGCAATATTTTTAGGATCAGACTCAATAATAATAATGAGAGTTAGAGGTTCAAATATATTTCTCTTTAATTATAGTAGGCATTCTATATTCACTGAATATTCACAGATAGAAGCGAGGAAAATGGCGAAGGTGGCTCCTTATATATACAAAGGGTGGAGCCAAGAGTGGGAGTGGTGAATTATGAATACATTAAGAAACAAAGAATAAGTTAACCCCTGATATCCCATATATACATTATTTACACATTAGGGAATAAGGCATTTACATCTGACAAATCCCCCTCTAAATGCCGGTTCGCTATACAACACCAATTACATTCAGATTCAGGACAATATAAGACATACAATTTGGAAGTTAAGTATTTGTGCTGTTTAGAAGGTAAAGGCTTCGTCAATATGTCAGCTAATTGTTCAGAGGTATCACAATGCACTGCTTTGATAAATCCATCTTGGGACAATTGTCTCACATGCTTAAATTTTATATCTATATGCCTGGATCTTTGTCCAATGGCATCGGATCTAGATATTTCAATGGCCGCTTTATTGTCTTCATGCATAACAAAAGGCAAAGCAGGTTTTTTCCAAACATCTGAAATTAAATCATTAAACCATACAAGGTTATTTGCAGCTTTGGATAAACAAACATATTCCGCTTCTGTGGTTGAAGTGGCTACCAGTTCTTGTTTACCAGTGTACCAGTAAACTGGACAGTCATTTAACAGAAAAATATAACCAGAAGTACTTTTTCTGCATGATGTATCTCCAGCCCAATCCGCATCTGCGTAACATGTAAGTCTTGGTTCTTTATTATCACTAGGCTCTAATACTAGACAAAAGTCTAATGTACTTTTCAGATATCTTAAAATTCTTTTGACAGCTTCCCAGTGATACATTGTTGGTTTACTAACGTGCCTTGATAATAAATTGAGTGGTAATGCAATATCTGGCCTGGTCCAATTAGATATATAAAGAAGTGAACCTATGACTGATCTATAAAATGTATTATCCTTGAATTCAGGGGAAGATTCATCATTATTTCTAAGGAAATCAGTTTGCATAGGAGTGTCACAGGGTTTGGCATTGTTTAAATTGCATTTGTTTAGAAGTTCAATAATCTTATTTTTTTGAGTAAGTTTGAAACCCCTTCTAGTTTTGTTAATTTGTACACCAAGGTATTTGTTTACTTTACCTAGAGATTTCAACGAGAAATGTTCATTTAACTTGTTTACAAAGATTTCTCTTCTCTCTCTGTGTTTTCCTATATATAAAATATCATCTACATAAATCAATACAAACTCAACGTGATCATCACTCTTTTTGACAAAGAAACAGTTATCAGCAGTGGTAGCGTTGAAATCCATGGTTTTAAGTACTTTTACCAAGCAATCGTACCATCTTTTGCCAGATTGCTTTAATCCGTATAAACTCTTGTTCAATAGCCAAATTTCATTTTTATTAGTGTATTGACTGTGAGGTGCTCTTACGTATATTTCCTTATCTAGTTTTGCGTGTAGGTACGCAGTCTGTATGTCATATTGAAATACATCAAGATTGAGTGTGGATGCTACTACTAGAGCTGTTTTAACACTCTCTGTTCTTACTGTGGGGGAGTATGTGTCAGTATAGTCCTCCGGATATTTTTGTGCATAACCTTGTGCAACCAATCTAGCTTTGTATAAGGTATTGCCTCCTTCTAGATTCTTAATTTTATAAATCCACCTGGTACCAATAATTGTTTTATCTTTGGGTGCAATCGCAGGTGTGAATACATTTAATCCTTGCAAACTCTCCATCTCTTTTTTCATAGCTAGTTCCCATTTTTCTTTTTCTTCACGAGGTAGTTTTAATACTTCCTCATATGTATTAGGTGTTATTTGTTCACCATCCATATGCATTATGTAATCTTTGTATTTATTTGGTATTTGATTTCTGTTGTTCCTAATAGCTCTTTCTGGTTTGCTATGGTAGTCATGCAAATATCTTGCTTCCTTTTTTGTTAATGTGTCTGTCTTTATTTTGTGTTGACTATTTGTCCATGTTTTGGTTTTGCTTTTACTTTTGTTAATATTTTGATTTTCTATCGTCCCTTCTTCACGAGATTTGGTATCCTTGCATTTATTCGGAAATATTTCATTAAGATGTAATTTAGACCAGTTGGCCTGTTCATGGAACACAGCTGTTCTGGAAACTATAAATTTATTATTATTATCAATGAATCTGTACCCTTTGGTGCCAGTTTCATATCCCATAAATCTTAATCTTCTGGATACGTTTTCTCCCTTTCTCCTCAATTGTTTGGGTATGTGTACGTCTGCAGTGACCCCAAATATGTGCATGTGTGCTAATTTTGGTTTCCTATTATACATCACCTCATATGGTGTCTTATTCACAATACTGGACCAGGTTCTATTTTGAGTGTAATTTGAATAATGTAGGGCTTCTGACCAAAATTGTTTGCCTAAACCAGCATCCTCTAATGTGCATCTAATCATGGTTTGTAATGTGGAATTCTTTCTCTCTGCAATCCCGTTTTGGAACACAGAAAATGGACTAGACGTGTAATGTAGCATTCCTCTATCCTTTAACCATTGGGAGAATTCCTTAGACATGAATTCACATCCCCTATCTGTCATAATTTGTTTTATTCTGATATTATGTTGTGTTTCTATGCGTTTGTAAAATTCCTTAAATTTTTGAAAGGTTTCATCCTTGTGTTTTAATGTGTAAACAAAACCATAGCGACTGTAATCGTCTACTATTGTTAGGAAGTAACGTTTTCTATAAGTGATTGATGGAGTTAATGGACCAACTAAGTCCATGTGTACTAAGTCAAAAATTTTGTTAGTTGATCTGGTGGATTTTTTTGGCCTGGGACTAGTTTTTAATTTAGTAGATTTACATACTGAGCATTCCAAATAATTTTCACAATTTTTTATTTTGACACCTTCTGCGTGTTCAGTCATTTTTTGTACTACAGGAAAACTTGCATGTCCTAACTTCCTATGTAAGATATGAGCACACTCGTCATGAATTGGTTTACCTATTTTTGGTTTCTTCTCATTGTGTGTATCTGTGTGATCATGAGATATTTTACATTCATCATTGTCACTGTTACTAATATTTTCATCATCTGCCTCAATGCAATCTTCCATATTTGAATCAATGTTATGTAACCATCTTTCTTTTGTTATCAGATAGGGTAGGCCTCCTTTAATCATCACAGTGCCTACATTTGTTTTATTCTTCTCTAAAGTTGCTTTTCCCTTTGAGAAAACTATATTGATGTCAGAATCTCTGCTTAATTTTATGACACTTAGTATGTTATGAGGTATTTCTGGTATTAACAATACCCCCTCTATTTTTCCTAGACCAGGCAAGGTCACATTCCCTCTGCCTAATACTTGAACTTTTTCTTGATTAGCTACCTTTATTACAAACTTATCTTCTGTAAATGAAGACAATATATTTTTGTTATTAGTGGTGTGATTAGTTGCTCCAGAATCAATAAGCCAATTATTGTTCTCATTTGGTTGCGTTTTGGTGCTATCTTGTTTATTTAGTCCATTCAGTGAACCAGATTTTCTCTCTTTTGAATTTTCTCTGCCCCCTCTACTTTCTCTGTAATTTGGTGGGCTTCTATATTTATGTCTATCTGTGGAAGACTGTCTATAATTGTATTTATTCCTATATTCTGACCTATGTCTTTCCTTTGAAATTTTGGGGCAATCTCTTCTATTGTGTTCTCTGGACCCACAATTGTGGCATTTAAAAGTTTCATTATATTTTTCTTGGAAAGCTACCTTCCTAAAAGGTTTGTGTTCTGTGTGATTGCTATAACGATTTTTTCTTGAATTGTCTTCTGCTATCAATTTGTTAGACAGACTTTCTATTGACAAATATCCTAGATTGATGGTGTCTAAGTGTGACATAAAACTATCCCATGATGAATCAAGTGAGTTGATAATGACACTTTTCATTGTTTGATCTGAAATCACTTCCCCCCTCAAATGCAGCTCAGCTCTTATTTTGTTTAAAGATATTAAATGCTCACTTATGGAAACCCCTGGTTTTACTCTGGAAGAAAAGAAGTCCTTAGACATTCTTGTGGTGGTAGCTACACTATCGCTGTGAAACAAATTAAACATGCATTGAATTATTTCTGAAACAGTTAGATTTGGTTTGATGCTATGATACATTGCAGGAGACACGCTAGATATTATTAAGAAAAATGCCTTATGGTGTAAACAATCTATTTTTAAAGTCCAAGGTCTTCTTGGGGGACTAGTGATAAAAAATAGTAAATTTTCTTTCATAAAGACAACCTGGAGCTGTTGATACCATTCTTGTAAATTAATGCCATCAACCCTAAGTTTTGGGAAGTCACTGGGTAAGTTACCCACATTATTTTGTCCATTACTTACAACCTGAGGCAGTCCGTGGTCTCGCAAGTGTAGGAAATTGCAAAACGGCATGGGAATGCTCGCAACGAGTCTGCGCGGTTCTCTGGCCAGTTCAAGTCTTTCCGGACCGTCTACGTAGTTTCGCACATGCGCGTTGTTCATTTCTTCTTTGACGTCGTCGTGGAAGGTTCTCTCCATTGCAGCTCGCTCGCTCCGTTCCTCTTCAGACGAGTCGGTCTCTGGCTCGGTCTTAGGAGTTCTGATGGCGGTGACTGTTCTTCTCTTTCTTTTGGGTGCGTTGGCACTTGCTTCGGTCTGCGGTGTAGGGCGGAATCGACATGGCTCTCTGGGCTCGGGCGTCGTCGTTCTCGAAGTCAGGATGGGAGCGTGCAGGTCTTGAAGTATCGGCTTGTTCGCTTGCTTCTTCGTTGGCGCTTTGGAAATTTTTAATTTTGGCCCGAATGCAGCAAAAAGCGTCTTCATTGCTGACTTTACTTGGGATTTCGTTAAGTCGTTTTCATTTTCTGATTCTGGCTCTTCCGAAGAGTTTGAATCCTCCTTTTCACTTTCGTTGTCTGATAACGTTTTTCGCGCCAGAAATTTTGAACTGAGCATTTTGATTGGCTCTGCTTCGCTCACTTTGGAGGCTTGTTGAAACCAAGATGGCTGCCATTCAAATTTCGCGCGGGATCACATCTTTTCTTTTTCATAACGACTTTCTCTGTAGTCATATCACTCACAGTTTTTTGGTCTTTGGGTTTCTCTTTAGCGATGTTTTTCTCTCTCGCTGCTCCGCTGTTCTTCAGCATTTCTTGGAGGTTCGCGATGAGGCTTTCATCATTTTTCTGGCTTTTTAAAAGCTTCAGTATCTCTGACCTGAGTTCGTTATTTTCTATTTCGATTTCCTCCTGGCCATCATTTTCATTTATTAGTTCTTCTTCTTCAGTGGTGTATTCTTCGGATTCTCTCGAAATCGCGTTTGTGGATTCGTTGATTATTTCTTGTTCAGTTTCTATTTCTTTGCTGTAGGCCCTGGTGTGGGGCCTATCTTTCTTAGACATTTTTAGTTATTTATTGAGTCAATTAACCATCCTCTGCTACCAGTTTGTTGCAATATTTTTAGGATCAGACTCAATAATAATAATGAGAGTTAGAGGTTCAAATATATTTCTCTTTAATTATAGTAGGCATTCTATATTCACTGAATATTCACAGATAGAAGCGAGGAAAATGGCGAAGGTGGCTCCTTATATATACAAAGGGTGGAGCCAAGAGTGGGAGTGGTGAATTATGAATACATTAAGAAACAAAGAATAAGTTAACCCCTGATATCCCATATATACATTATTTACACATTAGGGAATAAGGCATTTACATCTGACATTCATACATGTTATTCATTTTCCATTCCTTCTCCATTAATTTATACTCCGGATGTTTAGTATCTCTCTGCTTCTTAAGTCTGTATAAAATCCCCTGATGACTGAAGCTTTCCCCCTTCAACTGGGCTGTCTTTCTAAATATCCAAACTGTCATTCGCATATTGAGGAAACATCTGGACCTAAAGAATCTTCTCAGAGAATTAGAAAAATATGTCCTTTCCTCACTTTGGACACCAAGGGGAAATGTTGACACACAAAACTCCATGGCTTATGGGGGTGGGAATACATCAATTCTAAATCTATATTGTCTAATTTGGAGGTGTGACAGTTGTTATTTCTGTCATTGTTCCCTGAAAATCTCTGAACAACTCCTTCCTTCCTTCCTTCCTTCCTTCCTTCCTTCCTTCCTTCCTTCCTTCCTTCCTTCCTTCCTTCCTTTCCTTCCTCTGCTAATTTTAATTTTTATGTTGCCTATCTTAACAAATCAACTCTGGGCAAGTAATACTTGATAAAAACAGCACACAAAATAGCATCTAAAACAAAAATGATCTTGGTCTTCATTCAGTTAATTTTTTGGTTTCTTCAGACCAAAAGGGACAAAATGTACAAAACATTTCCTGAATCCAGATGTGCAATTGTTTTCATGTTTTATAATATGCCTCTTTCAAAGGCTTGATTTGTTACTTCGAATCGCTTTTGAGAAATGGTGAAAATTTTCAGGAGTTTGTTTTAATTATTCTTCTGTAAAACCTGCCTTCATTTTTCTTTGGACTGGAAACTTGTATAAAAATCAACTGTGCAAGGAGTGTGCAAGGACAACTATGAAACACCTGATCTGAGGAAATCTTTTATGTCAATCAATATGTAAATGAGGGCACAATTTCCCCTTTAAAGGCAACAGTTGGTTTCCCTTTTCCAGTGTCACCCACCAACACAAAGTTTGTGCATTTTCTCAAATTCTTTCCTTTCAATTTCCCTCCATTCATTAGAGGGAGCCAAAATGAACCTCTGGGTAAACTTGGTACTCCTTCTTGCATCCCTTGGAGGTAATGTTTCCCTCTATCTAGAGTTTCTTTTCAATTTCTGTTCTTATATGCAGGAAATCTCATTAAAACATCTTTCTTTTTAGGTGTCCAATCTGAGGTTCAGTTGGTGGAGTCTGGAGGGGATGTGAGAAGACCTGGAGAGTCCCTCCGTCTCTCCTGCCAAGCCTCTGGATTCACCTTCAGCAGCTCCTGGATGTACTGGGTGAGACAGGCTCCAGGAAAAGGCCTGGAATGGGTTTCCCATATACATCCAAGTTCATCTAACATTTACTACTCAGACAAAGTCAAGGGCCGCTTCACCATCTCCAGGGACAATGCCAAAAGCCAGCTGTATCTGCAAATGAACAGCCTCAAAGCTGAAGACACGGCAGTCTATTACTGTGCAAGAGACACAGTGAGAGGAAGTGAATCTGAAACCTGTCAAGAACTTTCTCTCCTTCTGAATAGTTTATGCTTATTTCCACTCTGTCCTTTTATTTCTTTCCTTGCTGAATTTCCTCAGTCTCATTCTTCCTACATGTTATTCATTTTCCATTCCTTCACCATTAATTTATACTCAGTATGCTTAGTATCTCTCTCTTTTTTAAATGTGTATAAAATCCCGTGATACCTGAAGCTTTCTCCCCTCAATTGGGCTGTGTGAAGAATGAGAGATATTAGCAATTGCAAATCTTTACTGTCCCGAAGCCTTCTGGGCCTGTATATTTTGGACAGTCTTTCTGCCATGTTGTCACTACTTGATGGTTACTCTTACCGCCATTATAAATTAGGAGGCCTTTTTACATCATGTAGTCTATATACTAACTTTGGGGTATGGGACACATAAGTGACTCGTTTATCTTTCTCTGTCCATTATGAGAATGTTGGTTAAGCAGTCGTTTCTAGCTTTTGTATATAGTGTGGACATCCAAACGTTTGTGCTTCCTAAAGCATTCTTGTTTATTTACTGAAAATCACATGAACATTGATAGAATCAACAGACCACAGTTTAAGAAGAAGCATTACACACAAACATATTTCTTGCCACAATGCTTAAGTGAATTATTGAAGTGGTTAAATTAGTAATTGGGTTCTTAAGTGAATCTGGGTTCCCCGTTGACTTTGCTTGTCAGAAGGACATAAAAGTGATCACAAGATCCCAAGTCACCACAGAGGTCATAAATATGAGTCAGTTGCCAAGCGTCTGAACGTTGAGCATGTGACCATGGAGATGCTGCTGCAGTCATAAATGTGACAAATGGTCACAAGTCCCTTATTTCATTGATGTTATAACATTAAATAGTCACTAAATGAACTGTTCTAAGACAAAGTCCGCCTGTATTTTCCTTTAGTCCCATGCAGAAACCTGAAATATGATGCAGAAAATGAAACTTTAGGATAATCTTTCTAAATATCCAAACTGCCATTCACAAATTGAGGAAACATCTGGACCTAAAGAATCTCCTCAGAGAATGAGAAAGATGTGTCCTCTCCTCACTTTGGACACCAGGGGGCAATGTTGACACACAGAAATCCTTGGTTTATGGGTGAGGGTAGAAATCAATTCTAAATATATATTGTCTAATTTTGGAGGTCTGACAGTTGTTGTTTGTGTAATTGTTCCCTGAAAATCTCTGAACAACCCCTCCCTCCCTCCGTCCCTCCCTCCCTGCCTTCCTGCCTTCTTCTAATTTTTATGGTTGCCCATCTTGAGGAATCAACTCTGAGCAAATAAGAGGTCAGAAAACCACCACACAAAATAGCCTTCAAAAGAAAAAATGATTTTGGTCTGTGTTCAGTCCGACTAGGTGGTTCAGTGACTAAGACACTGAGCTTGTTGGTTAGAAAGGTCGGCAGTTCAGCTGTTCAAATCCCTCATACAGGTGTCTTGCATGAGCAGAAAAAATGATGGTTTGAATCCTTTACTGGCACGAACCAACATCCATAAAGCAATGCAGGAAGATTTTGTTGGAGCTAATGCTTTGTGCTCCCCACCACCTTGTAAAGCTTTATCGCCCAGGTGACACTTAACCCGGCTCCTCCCCACTCATGAATCATTGTTCCCTTAGATACCGCAATTAGGCATTACTCCAGCACGCTCCCTGCCCACTGGCCACTCCTCCAGATTGGCCAGAATTCCAGCCATTTCCAAGAAGAAGAAGAAGAAGAAGAACTCACCCAAAGAAGATCCCAAGAAGAGGTCCCGACGGGGAAAGAGAGCACGGGGGAGAAAGAAAAGGAAGAGAAAGAAAGTAGCGAAGCAGGGAAGAAACAAAGACCTCAAAGAGCAGTTTGAGCTAATACCAACCTCAAATTTAAGTAAATCAATACAAGGCAACAAGGATGGACGATTGGAAAATCCTATCGATTAATGTAAATGGACTTAACGATCATAAAAAAAGAAAAACCTTCTTTAACAAATTAGTTATACAAAATGCAGACATAGTCTGTCTTCAGGAGGTACACATTAAACAAGAACACATAAAATATTTGGAACATAAAAAATTGGGGAATCTTTATACCTCTTTAGCCATGAAGAAAAAGAGAGGGGTGGCACTATATATTAGAAAAGAGATGAAGACAGAACTGAAATATGCAGACCCCAAAGGTAGATTACTAATTGTTGAAATTGAGAGGGGCAATTCGGCAATATTAATAGCAGCGATCTATGCCCCAAACAAAAATTTGGAAGAGTTTTATAACAAAACAAGAGAAATAATAAGAGGATTGGATAACAACAATATCTGCATCATTGGGGATTTCAACGGAGTGGCAGATGCGTATAAAGATCACAAAAGACCCAGAGGTCAAAAGAAAATAAGGAAAAATTTACCAAAAACTTTCTTCGACTTAGTGGATGAATTAAACCTTGTAGATATCTGGCGAACACTACACCCCAATAAGAGACAATACACCTTTTATTCTAACCCCAATAAATCATGGTCTAGAATAGACATGATGTGGGTAAGCAGGAATTTGGGCATGGACATTGCGTCAGCGGAAATCTTACCCAATACCTGGGCAGACCACAATCCACTGGAAATCAGATGGAAAAGTAGATATAAGAGAAAAAACACAAGATGGAGAATGAATACACAATTTTTGCAAGATAAAAAAAATATTGATAAAGTCAAGAGGGAGTTAGAAATCTTTTTTGAAGAAAATGAAAAAGAACCAATGGACCGGGGGATAATTTGGGATACGATGAAGGCCTATTTAAGAGGCCTAATGATATCATACGGAGCATACAGAAATAAAGAGAGGAGAGAAACTCAAAGAATATTGCTAGAAGAACTGGCAAAGGCAGAGAAAGAGGCGCAACAATGAAACAACAAAAGAAAACTGGATGAACATTCGTCATAAATTAAATATAATAGATCAAGAAAAACTAGCATATAATATTAAGAGAACAAAACAATATTACTTCGAGAATGCCAACAAGCCAGGAAGGTGGTTATCCTACAGAATCAAAAAAGAGAGAGAGAAAGGAATTATTCTCCAACTAGAAGACACCGAAGGCCATATCACAACTAAAGAAGAAGAAAAATTGGAAATAGCACGCAAATTCTATGCGTCTTTATATAAAGAAGAAGATATACCCAAAGAGAAAGTAAAACAATATTTATTGGAGCAGGGAATGCCACAGATTGGAGAGGAGGAAAAAGAGATGTTGAACAAAGAGATCACATTAACAGAGTTAAAGACTGCAATTGCCAAATTGAAAAAGAACAAATCTCCGGGCCCGGACGGATTCCCAGGGGAATTATACAAAAATTTAGAACTAGAAGACATTCTACTCCCAAGAATGCTCCAAATTTTTAATGAGGCCTTAATGAAAAACAAAATACCAGAATCTTGGAGAGAGGCCTATATTACACTTTTACCAAAAGAAGGATCGGATACCAAATTGATACAGAATTATAGGCCAATTTCACTTCTCAATACTGATTATAAAATATACATGAATATATTAGTGGAAAGATTAAAAAGAATTCTCAATAAGATAATACATAGCGATCAGAATGGATTCCTCCCAGGGAGGCAAATTAGGAATAACACAAGGACGATTCTGGATGTGATAGAATATTATGAGGAACACCCGGAAAAAGAGGTGGCATTAGTTTTTTTTAGACGCACAGAAGGCTTTCGACAATTTGAACTGGGAGTTTATAAAGCAACAACTGAACATAATGGGATTTGGACAAAATTTTACAAATACAATAAATACGATTTATGAGAAGCAAAGGGCCAATATTTTAGTAAACGGTGAACTTACCAAAACATTTCAGATCAGCAAAGGAGTAAGACAGGGATGCCCAATGTCACCACTTTTGTACATATTGGCATTAGAAGTGTTATTGAAGAAGATTAGAGAGAGTGATCAAATCAAAGGGCTTAAAATCAGGAAGGAAACATATAAAGTTCAAGCATTTGCGGACGACGTTGTCCTAATTATGGAAGAACCGGTGGAAACAGACATACAAATATTGGAAACACTCGATAAATATGGAGAAGTAGCAGGACTCAAATTAAATAAATCTAAAACCAAAATGCTCACCAAAAATATGACGAAAAACCAGAAAGAAGCCCTGGAGGAATCTATGGGAATCCAAATTGTGAAAAAAGTTAAATATTTGGGAGTATGGATCTCAACTAAGTACCTGGCCCTCAAAGAGGACAATTATGTCCCCTTGGTAAAAAGCATAAAACAAGATTTAGAGAAGTGGGGGAAGTTACAAATTTCCTTCCTTGGGATGATAGCGACAATTAAAATGAACATCTTACCCAAATTGTTGTACCTGTTCCAAACAGCGCCAATTAAATTTGATAAAAAAATTTTTAGTGAACTTAATACTACTATTGGGAAGTTTATTTGGGGAGGAAAAAAACCAAGAATAGCAATTAGGAGCTTACAAGATAAAAAAAATAGAGGAGGGCTTGGATTACCAATATGGGAAACATATCACAAAGCAGCAATTCTTGTTTGGTTAAAAGAATGGGCGACGTTAGCGAACAAAAGAATTCTAACGCTAGAAGGGCATGATCTCCAGATGGGTTGGCATGCCTATTTATGGGAAACGGGGAAAAAAATCAAAACACATTTCAACAAACATAAATTGAGGGACATATTGAAGTCAACATGGGAAGAAATAAGACAAAAACACTACACTAAAATTCCCAGCTGGCTTTCAACCATGGAGGCGATAATTTACCCAAATATCCTGGACCATGGTAAAACTGTAAAATATAAAGAAATCCTAGATGAGGCAGGGAACCTCAAAACATTAGAACAATTAAAAGAACAGGGCACTTTTGTTGAATGGTGGACATACGCACAGATAAAATCAAGATACAAAAAAGATAAAGAACAATACGGTATAGAAATGGGAAGCAAAGATTTTGATAAAATTTGGATGGGTACAGATAATAAATTATTAGCTAAAATATACAACTATTTAGTAGAATATGACCTGATGGAAGAAGTGGTTAAAGGCCCAATGCTAGCATGGGCCAAAAACATTGGGAAAAACATAAATCTGGAAGAATGGGATCAAATATGGAACAACAATATAAAACTTACCAAGGCAACTACTTACAAGGAGAACCAGTATAAGATGATTTATAGGTGGCACCTAGCACCAGCTAGGATTGCCAAGATTTACCCTAACTCAAACCCAAAGTGTTGGAAGTGTGGACACCAGCAAGGTACCTTTTACCACTGCTGGTGGACCTGCTCTCAAGCAAAAAAATATTGGAAGATGATTTGCAATTGGCTTTCAGAAATAATAGGTGAAACCTTTGAATTAGACCCTAAAACACTTCTCCTGGGAATCCTTAAGACGGAAATGGCAAAAAAGAAGAAATACTTGGCAGTGCATATAATAACAGCAGCAAGAATCGCTTTCGCTCAACAATGGAAAGAGAAAAATATACCAACTAAGGGACAAGTAATCGGCAAAATAATGGAATGTGCCAGAGTGACAGAGAAGATTCGGATTATTACAGCGTATGGGACAAGTGGTACGGGTGGTTAGAGAAGAGGAAATTGAAATAAAAAGGAAAGAGACCAGAGCAAGTACAAGAAATAGAAAAATGAAATAGTAAGAGAAGATGTACTGTGGATGGTAGGAAATATAATAAGGCAAGGAAAGGTTACATGGGTAAGCAAAAGACATAATTTATGTATTTACTAATTTATTGTTAAAGATTATCATATATACATACACTAAAAATGATATGTGAACACATTTTTTTTCTTTTTTACCATGTAACTGGTTTGCAAAGATTACCTACTTATGTATAATATGTACAATTTGTATTTATTTTTTTTTCCATACTATGTAACCGGATGGATAAAATTGTATTATTATAATTTCTTACAATAAAACTTTAAAAAAAAAAGAAATCAATTCTAAATATATATTGTCTAATTTTGGAGGTCTGACAGTTGTTGTTTGTGTAATTGTTCCCTGAAAATCTCTGAACAACCCCTCCCTCCCTCCGTCCCTGCCTTCCTGCCTTCTTCTAATTTTTATGGTTGCCCATCTTGAGGAATCAACTCTGAGCAAATAAGAGGTCAGAAAACCACCACACAAAATAGCCTTCAAAAGAAAAAATGATTTTGGTCTGTGTTCAGTCCGACTAGGTGGTTCAGTGACTAAGACACTGAGCTTGTTGGTTAGAAAGGTCGGCAGTTCAGCTGTTCAAATCCCTCATACAGGTGTCTTGCGTGAGCAGAAAACGTCACACACACAAATGATGGTTTGAATCCTTTACCGGCACGAACCAACATCCATAAAGCAATGCAGGAAGATTTTGTTGGAGCTAATGTTCCCCACCACCTTGTAAAATTTTATCGCCCAGGTGACACTTAACCCGGCTCCTCCCCACTCATGAATCATTGTTCCCTTAGATACCGCAATTAGGCATTACTCCAGCACGCTCCCTGCCCACTGGCCACTCCTCCAGATTGGCCAAAATTCCAGCCATTTCTAAGCCTCTCCAGATTAGTCATCATTAAAGCCGCTTCCAAACTTCTCCATGTCTCTCAGTCTCTCAGCCGCCCACAACAGCTGCTCAGTCAGCAGCTCCCAGCTGCACTCACTGCCCAGTCCGTTCACAAATGCTTGCTGACAGTCCGAGGGCCTTAAACATCTGGAGGAGGCTGCCATGGCAAAAAACACATCATCAAGCGGTGCCTGCAGTTGATGAGCGGCAAGGGCGCAAGACAGGAGAGGGATTTTCACGTTAATTGGTGGCCAGGAGGTAAACTGAGAAACCAGGGTGACATGGGAGCTGCCACGTCACCAGAACCTCCACACCCACTGGAATGGCAGCCCAACACGCGGCCGCACTTCAGGGCTGACAGTTGGACTAGATGACCTCCAAGGTCCCTTCCAACTCGGGTACTGTTACAGTTCTTTTGGGGCTCTTCAAATGGTCATGTTAAACGGAGGGGTGGTAGTATCAAATCTTTCTTCAACGCAGATGTGCTGCTGATCTCATGCTTTCTAACATGCCTCTTTCAAATCTTCTTAGTGGTTGTACAATATTTGTTACTATGAATCACGTTTGAGAAGTGGAAATTCTTTCTTTTAGTTACTCTTCTGTAAAGGCAGCTTCATTTTTCTTTGGACTGGGAAATTGTGTAAGAATCAACCGTGCAGGGCCTTTGCAAGGAGACCTATGAAAATCCTGCTCTGAGGAACTCTTTTATCTCAGACAATATGTAAATGAAGGCCCAATCTCCGCTTTAAAGGCAACAGTTGACACCCACAGACACAAAGTTGGTTCATTTTCCCAAATCCTTTTTTATCACATATCCTCCATTTTTTAGAGAGAGGCAGAAATGATCCTGTGCCTAAACTTTTTATCCTTACTAGCACTCCTTGGAGGTAATGTTTCCCTCTATCTAGAGTTTCCTCCCATTTTCTGTTCTTATATACAGGAAATCTCATTGAAACATCTTTCCTTTCAGGTGTCCAATCTGAGGTCCAGTTGGTGGAGTCTGGAGGGGATGTGAGGAGACCTGGGGAGTCCCTCCGTCTCTCCTGCCAAGCCTCTGGATTCACCTTCAGCAGCTATGACATGCAATGGGTGAGACAGGCTCCAGGGAAAGGCCTGGAATGGGTGGCCTACATTTATTCCAGTGCTTACTACTCAGACAAAGTGAAGGGACGCTTCACCATCTCCAGGGACAATGCCAAAAGCCAGCTGTATTTGCAAATGAACAATCTTAAACCAGAGGACACGGCAATCTATTACTGTGCAAGAGACACAGTGAGAGGAAGTGGCTCTGAAGCCTGCCAAAAACTTTCTCTCCTCTGAATTATTTACACTCAGTCCCTTTATTTCTTTCAATATGATCAAATTTCCTCATTCTCATTCTTTTCTACGTTATTCATTTTTCATTCTTTCTCCATTAATTTATAGCCAATCTGCTTAAACCTGAGCCCTCATTCTTCTTAACTCTTTCCACATTAATCTATATAAAATCCCCTGATGCCTGAAGCTCCTTCCCCTCAGTTGGGTAGGACCAAGGCTGCCAGATATCGTCAATTGCAAATCTTCATTCCCATGAAGACTTCTGGGTCACAATCTTTTTGCAAAATTTATTTATTTATTTATTTATTTGTTTATTTGTTTGTTTGTTTGTTTGTTATATTTTTTATTTATTTATTTAGTCAAGCATATATAATATTGCAAATAAATTAGAAACATGATTGTGGATACATGAAATGTATAAACATGATTATGAATAAATGAGATGATTACGAATAAAAAAGGACATTAGGACAGGTACGGTAGGCACGCTTGTGCATTTATGCAGGCCCCTTACAGACCTCTTAGGAATGGAGTAGAGTAGAGTAGAGTAGGGTAGAATAGAATAGAATAGAATAGAATAGAATAGAATAGAATAGAATAGAATAGAATAGAATAGAATAGAATAGAATTTTTTATTGGCCAAGTGTGATGAGGGATGAGGTCAACAGTAGACAGTTTAAAGTTATGGGGGTTTAGGGATGAAACCACAGAGTCAGGTACTACATTCCAGGCATTCACCACTCTGTTGCTGAAGTCGTATTTTCTTCAATTGAATTTGGAATGGTTTACCTTAAGTTTGTATCTATTGTGTGCTCCTGTATTGTTGTGGTTGAAGCTGAAGTAGTCATTGACAAGTAGGAACTTGTAGCAGATAATTTATGTACTACACTTAGGACAGACAGAAGACGGTGTAGTTCTAAGTTGTCTAAGGCCAAAATTTGAAGTCTGGTGGCATAAGGTATTCTTTTGCAAACAGAGGAGTGGAGGATGTTTCTCGTGAAATATCTCTGGACTCCCTCAATTGTCTGCCTTCCACATTTTTAACACTAGGGGGAAATGTTATTGTGCAAAACACCATTTCCTATGCACCAAGTGGGTTTTATAGGGAATAAAACTAGCCTCATTAGATATTGTCTCACTTATTTTGGCCATGTCATGTGGGGGAATTCACTGCAGAAAGTAATTATGGTGGGAACAGTTAGCGGTAAAAGGAAACCAGGCTGTCAAAGACCATATTGGCTGGATAGTATCAAAGCGGACACCAGCCAGAGCATAGAAAAACTCAAAATGAATAGTGCAAGATCAGAAGATATTGAGAGACCTGGCTCACAAAATCGCCAAAGTTGGAGCAACTGAATGGATAACATCAGCATCATTAGAGAGTGTCTAATTTTGGAGGAAGTAAAGTTTGTTGTCAGTTCTGTTATTGTTTCCTCAAAATCTCTCAAGAAAATTCCACATAACAGGAAAGAACAATCCTCACTGTGAAGCAGAGAATGTTCATAAAATTATAAGTATCATTGATTCTTGTCACCAGAAAAATCAGTCCAGGTACTTTAAATCTTTGGTGGAAATCAAAACAACATAGACAGATTTTTTTATCAGGTTTTGTGGACAGGGGGGAAAAAATCAAAAAAATATTAGATTCAGCAATAAATATGTCCACTAATCCAGAATATTTTGAAAATTAAGCTAAAGTTGAAAGCAGAGAGTTTTCTTTGGGGACTATTAGACGAGGAACTAGGAAAAAAAGTCATGAAGCTCTCTTTTTATATGTGATAACTGCAAGGAGATTGTTAAATGATCAAAAATGGAAATGGACACTCCACACAACCCACAATGGAGAGATGGGAAGTGAAGACGAAGGAACCTGAAGGGAAGACTCAACTAATCTCTTTGATTAGAAAATACTTTATAGACATTTGCAGGAGAAAAAAAAGAAAGAAGCAGTCATGATTTGTGGTTTGGTTAAAAAAAATGGAAAGTAGAAAAACATGAGCTCTTTTTTGTAAATATAAAATAACAGTTAGTATTGCAGATGTACTTATATTTGCTGCAGAAGAAATACGAAACTTCCTTTTTCTGTTTTTTTCAGTCTCTTTCTGTACTTTTAATGTCCCTTCCTTCCTTCCTTCCTTCCTTCCTTCCTTCCTTCCTTCCTTCCTTCCTTCCTTCCTTCCTTCCTTCCTTCCCTCCGTCCCTCCCTCCCTCCCTCCCTCCCTTATTATTTTATTTTTTGTGATTTTTATGATTTTGAGATATCAACTCTGGGCAAGTAAGAACTAACTAAAACACCACACAAAATAACCTCCAAAATAAAAATGTTTTTCGTGTGCATTCAGTTCTTTTGGGTTTTCTCAAAAAGACATGTTAAAGGGGAGGGGGAAAGTATGAAACCTGTTCTGAACTCAAATGTGTTGCTGTTTTCATGCTTTCTAACATGCCTCTTTCAAATTTTCCTAGTGGTTGTTTGTGATTTGTTACTCTGAATCACTAGTGGTGAAATTTTGCAAATCTTTCTTTGAGTTCCTCTTCTGTAAAGGCTGCTTCGTTTTTCTATGGACTGGAAAAATGTGTAAAAAATCAACTGTCCAGGCTCTGTGCAAGGAGAACTATGAAAATCCTGCTCTGAGGAACTCTTTTATCTCAAGCAATATGTAAATGAAGGCCCAATCTCCACTTTAAAGGCAACAGTTGACACCCACCGACACAAAGTTTGTGTGTTTCCCCAAATGCTTTTCTATCATATATCCTCCCTTTATTAGAGAGAGGCAGAAATGATCCTTTGCCTAAACTTTTTATTCTTCCTTGTACTCCTTGGAGGTAATGTTCCCCTCTATCTAGAGTTTCCTCCCATTTGCTGTTCTTATATTCAGGGAATCTCAATGAAACCTCTTTCCTTTCAGGTGTCCAATCTGAGGTCCAGTTGGTGGAGTCTGGAGGACATGTGAGGAGACCTGGAGAGTCCCTCCGTCTCTCCTGCCAAGCCTCTGGATTCACCTTCAGCGAGTCTTACATGGTCTGGGTAAGACAGGCACCAGGAAAAGGCCTGGAATGGGTGGCCTACATATATGAAGGTTCATCTTATATTATCTACTCAGACAATGTCAATGGACGCTTCACCACCTCCAGGGACGATGCCCAAAACCAGCTTTATCTTCAAATGAACAACCTCAAACCAGAGGACACAGCTGCCTATTACTGTGCAAGACGCATAGTAACAGACGCACAGTGAGAGGAAGTGAATTTGCTGCCTGTCAAGAACTTTCTCTACTTCCAAACAACTTATGCTTATTTGCACTCAGTCCTTTTATTTCTTTATTTGCTGAATTTCCTCAGTCTCATACTTTCCTACATCTTATTCATTTTCCATTCCTTCTCCGTTAATTTATACTCAATATGCTTAAACCCGAGTCTCTCTCCTTCTTAAATCTGTATAAAATCCCTTGATGCCTCAAGCTTTCTCCCCTCAACTGGTCTGGGCCAAGACTGACAGATATTGACAATTGCAAATCTCTACTGTCATGGAGCCTTCTGGGTCTGTATATTTTGAACTGTTTTTCTGCCATGTTGTCACTACTCGATGGTTATTCATAGCACCACTTATAAATCAGGAGATCTTTTGACATAATGTGGTCTATATACTAACTTTGGGGTGTGGGGCACATTCCCTTCCCTCAGGTTCTTTCCTCTACAAGGAAAGGAAAGAAATCCCATGCTCTCACCTTGTAGACTTCTAGATTTTGATGTGACTACAGGAAAGATATTCAGCTGCATAGCTTCCACATTGCAAAGCGAGAATTTTACTTAATCAAATGTAAGGCTTCCCATTGTATGAATTGTATGAATTATATAAAAATATATTTGCCTTGATATTTTTAAGGACATTTCCCTATTGATGTGTTTGTGTGTATGTTAGAATAGAATATATAATGTGAATTTGGAGATGACATTTTTTATCCAAAATCATCTATACATTAAGGGACAATAAGCAATTGTTCCTTACTTAATATATATCTGTGGCAATAATCCAAACCATTGAATACAAAGTGACTCAATTATCTTTCTCTGTCCATCATGAGAATGTTGGTTAAGCAGTCATTTCTTTTGACTGTATATCTTGTAGACATCAAAACATTTGTGCTTTCTAAACCATTCTTGTTTATTTACTGAAGACCACATGAACACTGTTATAATCAACAGACCATAGTTTAAGAATAAGCACTCATACACACACATACTAATTTTTAGCATCTGCAATAGATTCTCCCATGCTATGTAGAATATCAGGCAGCAAGGTATCTTCAACATTTAGAACATAGAATAATAGAGTTGGAAGGGGCATTGGAGGTCTTCTAGTCCAACCTCCTGTTTGAGCAGGAGTCCCTATACCATTTCAGATTAATGGTTGTCCAGTGTCTTTTGGAAAGCCTCCAGTGATGGACCAACCACAACTTCTGAAGTCAATCTGTTCCATTGGTTGATTGCTCTCACCGTTAGGGAATTTCTTCTTAGTTTTAAGTTGTCTCTCTCCTTGGTTAGCTTCCATCCACTGTTTCTTGTCTTACCTTTTGGTGCTTTGGAAAATATTCAGATCACCTTCTCTTTGGTCTTGGATAAGTACTTCAGCATCTTGTTTGCTTGGTTGAAGGACTTTACTTTGCTCTTGTTTTTGGTCTTCAGCTAGTTCTTGATTATCTTCACATGTCCTTCCACACAGATACACACAAACCCTTTTTAGAAATCACATAGTTTTTTTAAAAAATAAAGGAAACCCTCCTGTCTTAATGTAGATATTAATTAGGTTTTGATGGGTGATTGTCTGTTTTTTGTTCTTAGATTTGAAATGCAAATGTTTTAGTAGCTCTTCTGTAACTGCTGCTTCATTTTCTTTTGGACTGGAAAATTGTGCAAAAATCAACTGTGTAGGGCTTGTGCAACGAAAACTATGAAAATCCTGCTCTGAGGAACTCTTTTATCTCAAGCAATATGTAAATGAAGGAACAATTTCCCCTTTAAAAGCAACAGTTGACACCCACAGAGACAAAACTTGTGCATTTTCCCAAATCCTTTTCTATCATAGATCCTCCATTTATTAGAGAGAGACAGAAATGATCCTGTGCCTAAGCTTTTTATACTTACTTGTACTCCTTGGAGGTAATGTTTCACTCTATCTGGAGTTTCCTTCCAATTTTTTCTCTTATATACAGGAAATCTCATTGAAACATCCTTCTTTTTAGGTGTCCAATCTCAAGTGCAGTTGGTGGAGTCTGGAGGGGATGTGAGAAGACCTGGAGAGTCCCTCCGTCTCTCCTGCCAAGCCTCTGGATTCACCTTCAGCAGCTCTTACATGGGCTGGGTGAGACAGGCTCCAGGGAAAGGACTGGAATGGGTGGCCAGCATATATCCAAGCTCATCTAGCATTTACTACTCAGACAAAGTGAAGGGCCGCTTCACCATCTCCAGGGACAATGCCAAAAGCCAGCTGTATCTGCAAATGAACAGCCTCAAAGCTGAAGACACGGCAGTCTATTACTGTGCAAGAGGACACAGTGAGAGGAACTGAATCTGAAGCCTGTCAATAACTTTCTCTCCTTCTGAACAGTTTAAGCTTATTTCCACTCAGTCCTTTTATTTCTTTCCTTGCTGAATTTCCTCAGTCTCATACTTTTCTACATGTTATTCATTTTCCATTCCTTCACCATTAATTTATACTCAGTATGCTTAGTATCTCTCTCCTTCTTAACTCTGTTTAAAATCCCCTGATGCGTGAAGCTTTCTCCCCACAACTGGGCTGTGCAAAGAATAACAGATATCAGCAATTGCAAATCTCTAATGTCACAAAGCCTTCTGGGTCTGTATATTTTGGACTATCTTTCTGCCATGTTGTCACTACTTGATGGTTACTCTTAGCACCACTTATAAATTAGGAGGCCTTTTTACATGATGTAGTCTATATACTAACTTTGGGGTATGGGACACACAAGTGACTCATTTATCTTTCTCTGTCCATTGAGAGAATGTTGGTTAAGGAGTCGTTTCTAGCTTTTGACTGTCTATAGTGTGGACATCCAAACATTTGTGCTTCCTAAAGCAATCTTGTTTATTTACTGAAGATCACATGAACACTGATATAATCAAGAGACCATAATTTAAGAAGAAGCATTACACAATAGAGCCTGGTGGTGCAGCAGACTAAAGCACTGTTATTAACATTCATTAACATTCAGCTGCCTGCAATTACTGCAAGTTCAAATCTCACCAGGCTCGAAGTTGACTCAGCCTTCCATCCTTTCTAAGGTAGGTAAAATGAGGACCCAGATTGTGGGGGCAATAAGCTGACTTTGTATAAATATACAAAAGTATGAAGGCTATTGCTTAACGCACCGTAAGCCGCCCTGAGTCTCCGGAGAAGGGCGGCATATAAACCAAATAAAAAAAACAACAACAACCACCATATTTCTTGCCACAATGCTTAAGTGAATTATTAAAGTGGTTAAATTAGTAATTGGGTTCTTAGGTGAATCTGGGTTCCACGTTGACTTTGCTTGTCAGAAGGACGTAAAAGGTGATCACAAGATCCCAAATCACCGCAGAGGTCATAAATATGAGTTGCCAATCATCTGAATTTTCAGCATGTGACCATGGAGATGCTGCTGCAGTCATAAGTTTGACAAGTGGTCATAAGTCACTTTTTTCATTGATGTTATAACTTTAAACGGTCACTAAATGAACTGTTGTAAGTTGAAGTCTAGCTGTATTTTCCTTTACTATCATGGCAGAAATCTGAAAATGAAACTTCAGGATAATCTTTCTAAATATCCAAACTGCCTTTCTCATATTGAAGAAACATCTGGACTTAAAGAATCTCCTCAGAGGATTAGAAAAATGGGTCCTCTCCTCACTTTGGACACCAGGGGGCAATGTTGACACACAAAACTCCATGGTTTATGGGTGAGGGTGGGGGAGGGAATAAATCAATTCTAAATAGATATTGTCTAATTTTGGAGGTCTGACAGTTGTTGTTTGTGTAATTATTCCCTGAAAATCTCTGAAGAACTCCCTTCCTTCCTTCCTTCCTTCCTTCCTTCCTTCCTTCCTTCCTTCCTTCCTTCCTTCCTTCCTTCCTTCCTTCCTTCCTTCTTCTGCTAATTTTCAATTTTTATGCTGCCTATTTTAAGAAATCAACTCTGGCCAAGTAACACATGATAAAAACACACACAAAATAACATCTAAAACAAAAATGATCTTGGTCTGTGTTCAGTTCATATCTTGGTTTCTTCAGAAGGTCTTTTTAAAGGGGAAAATGTATAAAAAATGTTTCCTGAATCCAGATGTACAGTTCCTTTTATAATATATCTCTTTCAAAGGCTTGATTTGTTATTTTGAATCACTTTAGAGAAATGGTGAAATTTTTCAGGACATTGTTTTAATTATTCTTCTGTAAAACCTGCCTTCATTATTCTTTGGACTGGAAACTTGTATAAAAATCAATTGTGCAAGGAGTGCGCAAGGAAACTATGAAACCCCTGATCTGAGCAAC